CCATGCGAATGTCAAATTGTGTGTATTTTAAGACAAGGGACTCGAGTTTGGAGGAACTTTAGACTTATGCTTTAAGGAGAGCGTAGTAATATGTCTTATATGTCTTCAAGAATATACCTTGCGACAAATAAGTGATAAAAAGCAAGTCAATCGGATCTCTACTCAGGTTGTTATTTTCATTAAATTCGACTACATATCTAGAAAAAAGTATCTATATATATCCATATATTTTAATATGTCAACAGATTTTGATATTTAAACGAATAATAAAAATTTATATATACATTTTTTTCCAAGGTGACTGTTTTTTCATAAACTTTGCGGGCAAGAGGAAACAGAGTTCAGTGTATTTTAAGAAAATATTAAGTAACATAAATATAGCATAAATATCTTTCATTTAATTATTTATCTTAAGTGTATTTTATTACATTTTCTCCATTGCATTTGCATTGTCGTTTAATTCGCAATAAAATTAATTAGCTTATCACTTGATCCGGCTTAAGAACAAAACATGTTTCCGCTAAATTTAAACTCGACAATCGTACACCGAATGGTGGTTAATTTCGAGCCCCCGCAAGTGAATCAATAAGGAAATTGGTACCTTAAGGCGTGGCTCTGTTGATTGGTGTTCTATGTTTTCGTGGTCGCCGTTCTGGTGGGGCATGCCACAAGATTAATGATGGCCGTAAAGGCGCCTAAACTTGTTTTAGACCACGCCAAAATCGACACCCCCACAAAAGTGCCAGAGACACACCAACATTGTATAGTTGTGCAATTGCTAATCCTCCATCTAGTCGGAGACCATAAACCAAAGGCCGTCAGACACTTAATGAGGCAGAGTGCCCGACACATTCTCCCCGAATCCCCATCCCCATTCCCATCCCAGTTGTAAGAGCCATATCTACTGTCTTTTGGGTTTTTCTATCTGACTTCGACCACGCCAAAGACGTTTCCTTTGCCAACGCAAATATCAACATCGTACTTTTGTAGTTGCTTTTGTTGTGGTTATTGCTTTTATTATTGTCGTTTCTGTTGTTGTTGTTGTTGTGGTTTTGGCTTTTTCAATTGCACTTGAGGTGCTTCTTCCTCTTCGTCATCAGCACACACCTTCAAGGTGGAAAACAATAATAATAAGACTAAGCATAATAAAAGCCGGATGTCCATTAAAGTTTCTCTCTGCTGAAATTCTATATTTTTTCTTATTGCCTGTAGGTTGATTGGACTGGAGCATACTATGTTTTTATACATATATATATTATGTGGGTGTTGGCTTTTAAATTAGCTTCCTCTCATCTTTGGAATTGGTATTCGTGAAATGAAAAACTGACGGTTCGGCCGAGGAGTTTAATTTAGCGCAAGGACTGGAGGTAACGAGTAAGGTAAAATTGATTGAAATTGATTGCCCGGATAAAGTTGTGAAAAGTTAGGTAATGCGTGGGGCGAAACAAATCTAAAAGGGGAAATTTGGGAACGAGAGAATTAAGTATTCGAAGACAGTTTCAATTGTAATAAGTAGCAATCCACAAAAGTAAAGAAAATACCTTGGGATTAAAGCAGTTTTAGAGTATTTTTTTATATATACAATCTGTATACGGACGTTGTAAAATATATCCTTCGCTTTATTTTATTTAAGTCCTATATTTGGCCTTTTAAATGGAAGGATTCGCAGCCAGTCCCAATTGTAAAAGGTTGCAAATAACAATCAGAAAATACCTTTGGATTAAAGCAAATCAACCCTATTAAGACCGCCTGACATTTCCACGTCCTAAAGGAGTCATGCCACAAAACCGGGTACACAAATTTGTTCGCACGCCCACGATATGAGATTCTTGGATTTCCCACGGGAACTGTGGGCAGAGCACGCGCCATTTCCATTGTGCCTGCTCCTGTTTCTCAACCCACCTCCAAGTCCTTTTCTCTTTCTCCAGAGAAACAACGGCGGCGGAGAAAAAGCTGTTCTCAGCATTTACACTTGTAGCTGGGACATAAAGACAAGCGCCTGCCGCGGCGACGCTTAAGGATAATGTGCCACACGCTCGGAGCGGCCTACAAATGCCAGGGAGTGTCCTTGTGAACCCCACTGTCCCACAGTCTCACAGTCCGGCAGTGAAAATCGGTGAGGGTGCGCCGGAAATCATGCAATAACGTGCCGGGCACGAGCCGCTGAGGAAAATGAAGGAAAACTTTCCAAGTTGCTGGCAGTTCGTGCCTGCCGATGACAGTTCCCCATCTAATTTCTCTGGTTTGCTTTCGTTTTCGGCTCAGTCTGTGAGGCAACAACCCCATCAATCTGTCCAAGCCGCTAACTGACATATTAATTGCTCATAAACCAAAAGCAGTCACCACCCAAAATTTAATCCCCTTGATTGGGCGTCGGGGGTTGCTCTGCTCAAAATTGTGCAAAACATGCAAATTTTACAGGCTGGGAACATTTTCTCCGTACGAACTGGCTTTTGACCTAAGCACATCGCAGCTCAAGTGTCTGTGGCATTATCCTTGCCCGCCAGACAGTTGCCTTAACGCTTCGCTGGCTTTTTAGCCGAGGATGTGAGCGCCTCTGCTAAATTGCTCATTAGTTGGATCATGAACTAGAGAAGTGGGAAAATAGGCAAGGAAGTTGAGTTCAAGTTACTCCGAGTGAAAAAGGACGTGGGAACCGGGGAAATTGTTTTGACTTCACGGCCTAGGTATTGACTTAGGTCAGGTCTAAAGTATCCTTAAAACTAGTTTTAAGGGTGGTCCAAAGTATAGTCATTAATTTAACATTTTAGAATTATAATTATATATAAAACATATATATAAATATACATTTGTCTTTAAATATCAAATGGTCCTGCTCGCAGCTCTTGTTTCATTAATTTTCTAAATGTTGTAAATCGAAGAAAACCCTCAAAAAGTAAACTTCCTAATGCTTTTAACTCAAGTTATCTTGCACATCCCCACCTACAAGCCAAGAGCTCTTCATGCCCATCATCATCAGCCACTCTATGCAGCATTAATTGGTAAATTGTTCAGCTGATATCACAATTTAATTATCGCACATTAATTGCCCGAAGAACGAAAAACTGCACCCAGTACTCCGTCACCCGGTAGAAGTAATGGACGAAGAGCCATCTGGGAACTGCCTACAATCGAATTAAAGTTAATTTTTCATGCTCTACTAAAAGTTATGCACACTTTGCGTTTGTCAACCGACGCAGCCTGGGCGGACTTATATATCGGGCCGTGTCCGTGGGTGATATTTAAGGGGAAAGAAGCGATTTACGGGTGGAGCACATCCAGTCTCTAAGTGGGATGTCAGTCGATGCCGCGCTGCAGTCGTGCTTGGTTGCTCATTTATGACCATGGAGCTCTGGCAGAACGTATCTGCCAGATACTCGTACTCGTACTCGGCACGCACACAGAATGCAATTGCGGGGCGGAGATGAGTGGAGTGTAGTGGAATCGGAAGTTGTTGATTCAAGGCTCCGGGTAGCAGCTTTAAGTCACCTTCTGGTCGTTTGATGCTTCAGTGAGCTGCGACTGCGAGTCTGCAGTCGCTTCCCATTTCCTTCATTCACGGGGATTGCAGTTCATTGTGCTCCATGCAACTGGGTTACCTTTTCACTGGGACAGGGCACTGATTTTATTTTGTTCTGTACTCTGAACATGGTTAAGGAAGGGTCAGTCCGGTCATGCTCGGGGAACAGTTAATTAATGTTAAGCTAACTTTAAGTTTCCGCTTTAAAAATTTGATGCAATCGTACATTTGAAAAGTTTTGAGGGAAAAGGTGGATACAATTTCACTATTTTAACTCTTTTGAGAATCTTTTTTTGAAAAAGATTTTGTTCTTAACTGTTTGTTATATTAATATTGAAATTCTGTCAACAAATCAGGATATGTAAGTATTAAAAACATGTATTAAAACTTGTACTTTGGTTGAAAATATTTTTAAGTATTGACAGCTCAGATGATATATTATTATTTATTCAGCTGGACTTGTTTTGTCACAGGTTTTATTTTTTACCAATTACAAACAATAACAAACTGCTTCCTTGTTAAAAAAAATGGAAACTCCTATCGAAACGTACATAAATACCTTCTTTTATAAACTTAAACCTCTTAGTACATGTACTATCTCAACAATACTTAACTTAGAAGCAATGTTGGTTCGCTAACAAGCATTTGCATATCGATCAGGCAATAGTATTAATGTAACATTATCCTTGGTTGACATTTGCCATTATGCCATCGCGCTTTTCTGCATTGCGAATGACAGATGACATTTCTTAGTGGTGCGAAGGCGCATCTGTAATATTTATGCACATAATGCGCGCACTGCAAATGTATCTTTGTGTATCGCAGATGCCATTAGATTTATGAGCGTGCTGTATGACAAAGAAGCTTGTTCCTGTCTGTCTGTCTATCTGTATGCTGTGTGTTTGCTCGTGCTTCCAATGGCAGCCACGTCGTTGAAATCTTGATAAATTTGTAGACAAACAGTCGCGGCTTAGGAGGCACAGGCGGGAGTTTTGGTCACCCACTATATGATTTATTCTTTTGCGATAATAAATCAAAGACCAATACCAATGCATGAAAGAACTATTTTATCTAGCTTTTCCTTAATTCTCTTAAGTGTTTCGACTTGACTATCCTTCAAGCGCTATCAAATGCATTTGTTGTATTTTATGTTTGTGTGAGAGTGAGATACAAGTTCTGATAAGATAGCCTTTAGACTTTAAATATTTTAAACAATAAAATTGAACTTTAGATGGTTTGGAAATAAATAAGTACAAAATTTTTTTCATCCTAATGTTTATACACTCAATAATTTGGATTCCAATGCTATGCGATCCGCCGTTTAAAGTTATAATTATTTGTCGATTATAAAACATGGACCCGTGTGAAAATCTCTTCAAAAAATAATTATTGTAAAATTCTAAATTATATTCAATAATGAATGTTAACGCTAATGCATGTTAATAGATTTCAGTTCTCCTAAATCCATTGATACAGTAACATGTTCGCAAAGCTAACTTTTTTGTTTCGTTTACTAATGCTGTCATTAATAATAGAAGAGGTCAGTGAATCGAAAATTGTATACCAAAATTTTAAAAACTTTTAAATTAAAGATTACTTCTCGGGTGGAGATTACTAACTTAAAGTGTAAGACCGTAAATAAGGACCTTGCCGAATTTGAATATTGCAGTATAAAGGCGATAAACCGTACCTACAAATACGTCTCGGGAAAGTTTAAGCATTATAAACTTCCAATTAAGAGAATCAAGGTATTTGTGTACTGAATTTGGAACTTTACTCAATTGGACAAAAAAATATAATAATATTTCAGGTTAATTTTGGTCTGTACAAACGGTTTAATGGATACAAGCCCTTCCTTTACAATCAAACTGTAGATGCATGCCTTTTTTTGAAAAATCAGAAGTCAAATCCTGTCGCTAAGTATTTTTACGACTTTCTTAAGGGAGTCTCGAACTTGAACCATACGTGTCCATATAATGTAAGTTGACATAATTGTTCTTAATTGATATGTTTGCATTCATTGAATATTTTTTTGGATTTTTAGCATGATGTTGTTATCGAAAAACTTTCCACGGACATCATGAATTACCATCTTACGAAGGTACTAGCCTACCCTGAAGGCGATTACTTATTGGAGACGCATTGGACTTTGAATGACATACGTTCCGCCGTAATCCAATTGTACGTGTCGGTTTTCTGAATCAAATAATGATAGAAATTATGTACCAATCATTCACAGTTGACTGTAACACTTAATGACAATCAAAATAAACTGGGATAATTATATACTTAGAATATATTTTATATATTAGGTTAAAGCTTACAATTATAGACACTTGGTGTTGAAAAGCAGGATCTACCGACTTTAATGAACAGTCAAGTCTGACTAAAAATAATATGGGATCTACAAACAAATGTAGCGGAAGATCAAAAATAGATAATAAGCTCGAAATTTAATTACGATAAGCTATCCAACACATTACTTAAGTACTACCAACTAATGATTAATTACATGTTCATTCATTAACCATAGAGGGTATAAAATTGACAGATTTAATTGTATATCCGAATCAGTTAGATAAGCTATCACTTGCATAGTTGATTACCTTAGGGTTTTCGATTATAATGGATCTCATTTTATTTAATTTGATAGCGAAATCATACGGAAATAAAGTGATAACCGAATGAATATTGCTACTTTCCTTCTTTATTTTCGCTGGTAGGATCACCAGTTCTTCTTGATATACCCCCGGGAATTATCTAATCTTCTTACTGCCTCAATTGAAATCATAAGATGAACCTTTATGCAAATTGTATCTTCCTCGATGTGGATCTTTTCCGCTTCGCACCCTACCCTACCGCAATCGCATTGCAGTTGCCAGGCAGACAAAGGGTAAATAATTCGTTCCGCGACAAATTGCCATCTTAAATTATATTTGACATTTAATAATAAATGTTGATTGCGCTCTGAACTGATCGCACCCCCACTTGTTATTTCTTATTCGACTGCTTCAGAAACTTGATTGCTTGATCTTCTCTTCACACTTTTTTGGATGCCATTTGTCATTCAGTGTTTATTATATCTTTTTGCTTAAAATTCCAGTTTTTGAAGCTTTAATTAACAGATTTCTGTTTATCGTCTTTTTTCATATGCGTGTGTGGCAAAGTTCTAATTTACACGCTCCTTCATGGTTCAATTAACATTTTCGAGTGCAAGTCATTGGCCATGCTTTATCTGTATTTATGAATATGTATATTTATGTGAAGTAAGGTCGTTGTATTTGCTGAAAGGCTTTTCGAAAGTAACCAATGCCAAAATGAACATAAGTAAAGTTACTAAGTGAGTCAAAGGAGCTTTACTGTTACCAACCGCCAATGCCGACAGCGTGGTTTAAGGGGTCTTACTACAAATTATTATGATTAATCATCACACACAAATACAGGCAAGCAGCGACTAAGGCATATACATAGATACGTTTTGGTTTCCACGCCCTCGGGTCAAAACCGTGGCCTGAGATACAAAAAATTGTTAAATTTTCAGGCATTTTATTTGCTTTGTTCTTTTCAAGCCGAAAATAAAAAGCTGCGGGGCAATTAATGGACGTAGTCTTCAAATTTAAATTTTAAGCGTGGGCATATCCAAATAAGGCAAATTAACTTGAGTTTTTCAAGTCATATCTTCAATAATTTATTAACGAACGAGGCTAATGCGGTAAATTAAATGTTGACAGGCATATCCAATACATATTGGTTTGTTTGGCGATCAAAACAAAGCAAAACTGCGATTGGGGTCAAAGGATGTAATAAAGAACGAAGAAACAGCAAAGCGTGCCAGTAATGAAAACACCAAATAAAACAACAATAATAAACAGACTGCCAGCAAAGAAATCCCAATAATGCAAGCGTCGCAAGTCCAACGTATACAAACAACAAGAAAAAAGAAATAAAAGAAACAACCACAAAAACGGCCTGACAGCAATTAAAATACCCTTATATACCCATTCATTTCAAATTTAAATGAGTACTGAAATTTCATATGAAATATTATAGCCTGCAATAATTCTTTTTTTTTAAATGGTAATTCAATTTTTTTTTGGGAATTCTTCTTTTTACCTTATTGACTAACGTAATATACATAGAAGAACAAAAATTAGACGTTTGTTATAAATCGATATTATTGTTTCTTAATAATCCAGTCAAATCATACATTTATTACAAAGTTTGTTGTTATTACCGATAATAAACTCAAAATAATAAAATCCTTTTATAACCGAGTTATCCCTTTTTAAAGCCCAAATATTTAATTGTAGTGTTTGTACGATTTCAGTTATACTGCATTAAGTTTGGACAGCTGTATTTATATAGTGCATCATAAAATTCTTGCAAAATTAATTAATTATTATAACTGCAAGTAAATAAAAACTTATTCTTGCCAGCGGTAGCCTATCATTTTTTAGGGGAAAGATCGGATGTTCTGTTAACTATCCTTGAAGTCAGCGCCGACGGGGTGTTAGATATATTGGAGAGAAAGGAAGAAAACGTCTATCTACTACGAAAAAAGACCCTATTAAAACTAACCCCTTGAGCCGGCAAAAAGCCCACCATAATAAGAGTAACAGGTTACCAAATACTACAATTATTAACATTTTTAATTTATGCTCTACAGATCAATAGGAATGAATTGCATTCATAACTGGTGAAAAGCTGACTAAAGCGGATTTTAATAATGCTTTTTGCCGTCGTTATATGTATGTACGTACGTATGTTCGATCTTTAGATATTTTCTCGCATATAAGTAACCGAATCTTAGCAGTGAAATAACTTTGATAAGCAAGTCGCAAAGCCCAAGGGACCTCGGCTATGCCGCAAGTAAATCGGCATAGGGTATCAGATCGCGACCATATGGCGTTTGGGTCGCGTTGCCTTGGCAATGTGTCAAAATGCAAATGCGGCTAACGGTAAGCTGCAGGAAAACTGTTTCTGTTCTTGATTAAATACACACACATCCACACCAAAAACACGCACACTTACACACGCTCACGTGGAGAAATGAAATCGCAGGAAAATATAAAAAAGAGCGCCAGAAACGGAGCGCCCAAAAGAAAATCAATAATTTGGTGTTTTGGCCTGCTAGTTTTTTTTTGTTGTAACCCACCAAAAAAAAATTGTGGAGCATGAAAAATTGGAGCAGAGTAATTTCGCTCGGCTCTCGTGTGTTATGTGTGTATATTTGCCTGAGAAATGTATTGTTCCCAACTCACATTTATTTGTCAAGTTTTGAAGTTTATGGGGGGAGCTTTTTCCACAAAACTCCGCAAGCTTAAAGCAATTTAAAATTATTTTTTGTTGTTGCCGAAAATAAAGCCGAGAAAAACAAACAAAGCGAGAAACTCCGTTTCGGACTGATTACACAACGCCGAAGAAACTTTACGTACGCGAAGTTGGAGACTTTTTGGTGCATGGGCCTCGAATAGAGCTGGTTTTAATTACAATGTTTCAGGGCCGCGGATCTTCTCATGTTTCTGTTTGGGCAGCACTATTTATAATTTTCGGTAAATATTGCGCACTGGAGTTTTGGCTAAAAAATTCGCACCAAACAAATGGCCCTCACACACATAGTCGCCCGTGCACGCACACACACGAACACGAGGATGAGAGAGCTCCGCCACGCGAGAGCCGTTCAAAGCGACTGAGCTGGAAGTTCAACTGAAACCTCAAGCGAATCACAACCGAAACGCCGGCAGCGCAGTCGACGTCGCTTGGAGCCCGAGCTCCCCCAAAAGAGCGAACGAGAGGGGAATAAGCCTGTGGGGTGCGTTTTGCGCTCAGCTGAGCGCTAGAATTCGTTCTTTATAACGGTATATTTAAAGCCACCATGTGAGTGGCAAAAGCATTTGCTTTACAGCCCTGGAATGGCGCTGCCAATATTTTGCAAATATTAAAGACAACAATTATTCAAATAATTATTACATGATAATTATAAGCCTATTATAATTATTACAAGATAATTATCAGGCAAAAAAAAACTTACAAAACCTTTTTCCAATCGGTTTTTTTATTGCACTATTTTGCATTTCAGGATATTTATCTTAGGATTCGCCATAATTATTCATTTTTAAACATAACATTTAATTTAGTAAGCTCACTATAATTGGATTTCTCTATTTTAAAATTAAAATATTTTATTTATAGCTTGTTTATAGTGCATAAGTTCGATTTAATCATGTAACGAGTTAAGATAGCTTTTAAGAGCCGGCGCTTCCGACTTTTGGTACCACCGATGTCTTCATAAGTTTAGCAAATATCTCCAAAGTTGCTGTTGCTCCTGCTTGAAGACTGCCAAGTCATTTCGGTGTCCTCAAAATCGACTATATCTCCCAGGCGGACGGGTCCCTTCACAGTTCGCATAAATTGCATCCTGGGCTGATCCACCAGCTGCACCCGGACTTCGGTTAGGATTCCACGGGCTCCAATGCGATTCAGAACCTTAATAACACGAGCTTTGGATGCGACCGGTTGGGACATTTTTAGAAATAAACAACAGAACTAAGGTTTCGTAAGTATTTAGAATTTCTTTAGTTTCAGCACTGACAATTTACGCTGTGCTTTCCAGACACATTTTGTATAGCACTTTTTACAAAAAGGGGAAAAACCTTTTCTAAATCAAAAATACAGTATTACAGTGACAAATTAAAGGTTTATTTATGATGTTAATTAATACTTTGAGGTATACAACATTGATTATAACCATAATTTTCTTAATTTTGAACACTTTCAAACTTTCCGCGCAGAAGGACATCCCTCATTATACCAGCAAGTTCTTCGTTCTTCTGCGATCGCATCTCATCGATGAGGGACTCCCTGAATCCAGGGTCCTTGGACGGATCTGGGGTTTCCGGCAGCTTCTGTTTCTCCAGCTGCAGCTGCGGCACTTCTACCCCGAATGTGGCACCAATGCGCTCCACACTTTGAGTTCCTGTGTCTCCAATTTTCGACCAACTGTCCGTTCCAAACCAAATGCAAAGCGGTTCATTGAAATCCGCTACATGAGAGCGGAAAGGATGGGCAGGACTTCCGAATCCCATGTGGCTAATGGTGTCCCTAAGGACCTTGGCCAGTTTGGGCATCCGCTGGGAATAGAATAGCAAGGCGCCACCAATTAAATGGGCCATGGAGCGCAAGCAGCGACAGGTGTGTTTTTTGATGGCTGGATCAAAACCAGCAAATACATCGTACTTCCCACCAACAATTACCACGGGAAAGGGCAGCGGTTCGAGGTTACCCAGATCCTCCTTGCTCTGTTGACCCACTCGCTCCAAGGAGCGTTGTTCTAGGATTTCTCTGAGATCTGGAGTTGAGTTTTGCATCATTTGTTGCGCCGTATCCCTTAATCCCTTGAAGGCACACTCCAAATCCGTCCAAAATCGCTGTGGTTGCGAGAGATCCAACATTATGAAGACGGCCAATTGCTGCAGACCGTGTGTCCTCATGGGAACTTCCAGTAATTGCTCTGCATTGTCCAGGGATCCCAGTTCCCAAACATTCATCACCTGGGGAGACTTTCCAATCCCAATTCTTCGACCGAAACTATACTCCAGTGCAAGAGTTGGTCGCGTGGCGTGTTCCTCGCGATCGAAAAACTTATTGATGGCCGTCGTTTTGCCCTGAAACAGACAAAAATATTCATAAAATGTTGTTTTAGTAACAATAATTTAGAGTACATGTTTTTATAGTTTTGTCTTGTAATTTATAACGGGTGTCCTTCAGACCCTTACTTACCACACACTTGCTGCCCAGGACAAGAAGGGTTCGCTCCTTGGGCACCGTGGTGGCCTCCAGTTGCCGAAGTCGCTGCTGCTCCTCCGCCAGCCGACCGGCGATGTCTTGAATACTGGGCGTGACACCCTCGCCGCCCTCGTTGCTTTTGTCAAACATTTTTTGAAGACGCTTGTGCAGGTTGTAAAAAATCTGCGGCAAGCGCATTGCATGAATAGTGAAAAAGCCGAAACTAAATAGTTTTGGTTATTATTTTTAACGGTTGCCATTGACAACCGAGGCAGTCTGGCAACGCCAGCGATATGAACTTAAATGAAACCGTTACATTTTGTGTGAATGACAAATTCAAAATTTGATATGAAAGTAAGTTGTTTTTGATAACATTTTTAAAGCAACGTCGAAGCTTAAGACCTGAAATTTAAATATGTTATATTGCAAAATAAATTCAATCAGTGCACATATTCATTAGCACAATACTGAATACAGGAACGAAAGGAAGGTATACAAAACTCATTTCTCCCGTAATTGATTGGAACGCATTAAAACGGTTTTGTTTATTTACTATTCTTTAATCATAAGCCTTCTCACTGACTTTAAGCTTAAGTGTTATAAAAAGTGCGCAACAAAGATACACATTTCCCATTTTCGTTTCTAGAGGGCGGAACATAAAAGTACAAGCAATGTACAGTGGCAAACAAAATAGATCGAATGGACGCGATTAATGAAATTCTATAAATAAAACAAGGATAACAAACAATGAAGACGAACTCGGCTGGGCGGCGGAGGAAGACCGCGTCGGCCTTTTGGAATACTTCGAAATGCTCAGTAGAGCCAGATCTCCTCCAGAATCCCGTTGTCTAGCTGATCGGCGGGCAGGGCTTTCAGGGTGCGCAGCGTCTCCATGTAGAAGGTCAGCTCCGAGGTCACCACACCGTGCTGTGGTCCCCCATTGTTGTTCACATTCAACTTGAGCAATTGTTCCCGCAGCTTGTCCTTGAAGTTTCGATGCACCACGCCGTAGATCTCGTGGATCTGTGCCTCCGGCAGAACTCCGGCGATCGCCTCGTGAAGTTTCACCAGATGCCGGGAGATGTGGCGGAAGGTCTGAGAAGGTATAGGCGGACGTGCCTCCCAGGCTTCCAGTTGGGCGGCCAACCTCTCGGAGACTATTCCGTGTATCTTGTTTTCGATCTCCTTGATGTGACCCTGGTAGTCCCGCTCGATGGCCTCGTATCCACTCATCGCCTGGAAGTGCTCCCTAAGCTTGGGCAGCAGCCAAAGAACCAGTTGGAGCGCCCGGGAAACGAGTGCAAGGTTGGTGCTGGTAATGGTCTTTAGCCCGGCTACCCTCATCGCTCCTGCTCCAATAATCAGTTGGCAGCTTCGTGAGTTAAAGCAGCGCAGCAGGTCCACCACATTCCGGGCATGGTAACTGGCTAGCAATGGCAACCTATGGGCACTTCCTCCGTATTCATATAACATCCGGATGAGCATAAGCGAAGCACTGACCAAAGTGTATGGCTGTTTTCCTTCCACCAAGAGCACGGGATTGCCTACGCCATTGCTTATAAGATTACCCATCTCTGGTTTGGCGTAGTCCCCTGCGGCCATGCGCTCGATAATCCTCTGAAACTCGTGGGGAATATCCACCTGGCGCCAGCGCTCCTGATCCAATAGAAGGGACAACTTCTGCTTCCGTTCGGAATGAAATCGTTGAGCGTATCGCGAGGCTTGGACTTTTAAGGCAAGCTGAAGAGGCACACTGGCCACTCCACAAATGCTCCTCGTGGTCTCGCCAAACTGATCCACAATGTCAGAGAGTTGGCAGAGCTCCTGCTCACTCGCCGAACTTTTTTCCAAACTCTGAGGGGACACAATATTGGCACAGCGCTCATGGCAGTAATGGCAGACAGCCTGGAGAAGCTGCTGTAACTGGGACCGCAACTGCTCATGGTGTCCAGGACTCAGAAAGGCTTCCGAATCAATCAGATTCACTGCATCCTGGGCTCCCACAGCTGCGTCCGCTGTTTGCTGCATAATACCCACTACGGTTTTAATGCGTTCGAGAATGGAAACCAAAGCCTGGCTGGATCGCAGGAGCAGGGCAATCCATTCCGGCAAGGTGAGCTCTAAGGCCTGCTCCCCGTGACCCGTTAAGCTGATCTCCTGATCGCTGTCGCTGCGGGACAAAACCTCGATGAGAAGTTGTTTTATGATGGCCCGAATGGTGGCAATGGCTTCTTGTTGGTAGGACTGGACAAAAGAGAAGTTCTGCTTGCGCAGCAGACCCATCACAATGGCCACCAGTTTGTCCTCCTCAGCGCAAACGCTATCCGTTTCCCGGAGGGCATCGGTCAATGGTCGATTGAGATCCGCGGCAGCATAGCGTTCGAATTCTGTGGTGAGCATCTTGTCGATCAGCTTCTCCATTTCACTGAGCTGCATGGGCAGGTGCTTGAAACAGTGAATGCCGAGGAGTTCGGCCGAAAGGATTTCCTGCGTGGTTCCTATCAAATCCAGGGCAGCCACATAATCCTGGGTGCCCAGGAGAAGTTGCAGCATCGGTTGCGTCTTGTGCACGGTGGCCATCAGTCGGAGTTTGTCCAGCGTGAGGTTGTAGTGCTGTCTTCGTTGGGCAAAACGTAGCACTTTAAAGCTGTCCACAACAGAGTGACTGTGGAGTTGCGCCAGTGCTGTCCTCAACTGACGCACTTGGTCCGCCGCCTGCTCCATTTCCTCCAAAATAGCATGCTGCGTAGTCATGGCGTGAAAGAAGGCGGCTGATTTCTGCGAAACCTGCTGCGCTATCTTCACCTCCACCATGTCCAGATAGTGACTCAGCTGTTCCTGCAGCTGGCGGCCAGTTTGCTGGTGTGTTTCCGGACTGGTAGCCGATGTTTGCATGTAATTAGGAAATACTTGCTTAAAGGTGGCTGGGTGATGCAGCTGCAGCTGCGATTTCAGAAAGATTTCGGGCACTGAACTCAGGTGGGTGGGTGTCTGAGCACCACTTCCCGGCCCAGGTGCCGTTTGTGCTCCATTCTCCAGCGGTTTATCGCGCTCCAGCTGTTGTTGGCGGCGCTCATGCCAGCGATATCGCTTTCCAATGCTCCCCAGATAGACGGAGAAGTCGGCATGCGTTATATCCGGCAAGCGGGGAGATGGCGGCACATGACTCCGCTCCACAAAGTGCTCGCCCCACTTCTTCGTAAAGAGATTACTCTGCTTGCCCCGAGAGGGATCGTTGAGCACTGCTGGCAGGTTCTGGGCGGCCGAGTAGACTCCCCATTCGGGAGGCATCTCGCGCGTGTGCTGGTTGACATGGTACTTGGCCACATGTGCGTCGTAGTCGCGATCCGAGACTCCGTCCAGTGGAAGAGAGGCACACACTCCGTTGAAGCCATAGCGGCACACGAAGGAGCCGCCCTCCCGGGTGCAGTGACGATTTCGTAGGTGACTGAAATGGGAAATGGAAACATGAATTTAAATTGTTATCAATTAAATTAATTAAACCTTATCAATAAAATGTATATTTTCCATGATGCTTGCTTCAATTAGAATTTTATGGGTCATTTTTTATTTGTCACTTTTGAATAAATATCTGAGTTTCTTTCGTTCTGCTGAAGTATGATAAAAAATTGTTTGATGTAAGCAATTTAATAAAATGTTTATTATTCATGATACTACATCCAAATTTTTTTGTTTGTTTATTTACATTCAATTCTGGGTTCCTTAATAAAGGAAACCAAAGGTTTCTAGAGAACTGAACAGAATGTCCCATTCAGCAAGTTTAAAATTTCGAGTTTGTAAATTTATTATATGTGTATATTAAACATATAATCTGAGAATGTCAAGGATCGGCAATGATTCTCGGGAAAAGTTTGTTGAAAACTTCCGCGTTTTGGAGTACTTTTTAGAGGAATCTGGAATCAGATCACTGTTCGTTTAATTTTAAAATTTGTTTGTTTGTTGGTACAAACTGAATTTGTTTTTTTTTTTTTGTATGAATTTGGTCGGAAGATATTTCTGAGGCAGTACAGATAGAGACATCCAGTTATGAATGTTCGACTGCAGTCATACAAATTTAACTACCTGCTGCTATTTAAATTTTACCTGCTAATTATCATTTGAAGTCATACATATGTATTTGGATAAGATAAAAGCGGGTTTCGGTTGTAAACCTGCCTATAGACTTGGCTGCATATGGTGTGATGGAGATGAATTTGGACCTGCAACTTACTTGACAAAGTCGCTGATGGTCTTAAATTGCTCCCTGGTGCAGTAGTAGCAGCTCTGCCAGCTGGGCGCCGTCCCTCCAGCGATTCCACCGCCACTGGCCGTGGAAAGCTTCCTGATCCCGGGGTTTCCGGATCCGGATGAGGGCACAGATCCCAGTCCCGAACTAACGGACGTGGCTACGTCTCCGGCGGACCTTGTCGTGGCCATAACACATACTCTGCGACTAAAGTCCCGAGCCGTATGGTTTCTCCCTCTGGTTTACCTGCTCCCAATAGTCGACGTGTTATGTCAATGTTTGCTTTCTAGCTTCGCTCGTCGGCCTTTTTCGGCAGATGTTGCATTTTGGTCGCTCCGCGATGACTCCACTCTCGTTGGCTGTTTATTGTAGTTGGAATGGGAGCATTTCGTCGATTTCTGGGTGTTTCTGTTGCTTCGGTCGCTTAATTGAGCAATTGTAAGTGGAACAATATTATGACGAACTGTAGTGTTGCGAAGCGACATCGGTGAATGACAGCTGGCGAGGGCTGAAAACGTTCAAGCGCGTATGATGTTTTAAGTGAATAATAAAAACATTAAGGTTGTTTATTAAATTGACAAATAGAATTAAAAGAATACATACAGTTCAGTAGTTATTAATACAGGTATAAATATATTTAAAAATTATATTTATTAATTTAGTATTTTGTTAATAAAATGCAATTTGCTATTTGTGTTTGCTATTAGTATAGGGATGGTCCGTTGAGTATCCATTTATGTTGATTCAAGTAAAATATAACTTTCATATCCAGAAGTACCATAGCTTGGCTTTTTTTATATGTCATTCTTATGTTTTAATCTCAATTAGTCATATTTTCAAATTCAACGGAACTAACTAGCTTGTTTTTTTTAATTGCTGATTCATAAATTTTTGTCTCCATTAGTAATATTATTAAAAAATGTATGATTGGGCGAGAAAAATTGAAAATTGCACAAGTAAAAATAATATTGTACAATATTTTTAGTTATGGTTCTGGTAAGAAATAATAAAGGGGGAATTCATAATTTTTTATAAGTGCAATATTATTATTTCTTGAAAAGTTTTTGATTAATAATCATTTATTTAAAAGCACTAAAATCATTAGTTAGGAAAATATAATAAAATATAACTGACATCAGCAATCAAGTTGTATCATGTGGAGTGTGACTTGAACGGAGTAACGCTTCACAACACTAGACATTGGCAAAAATCAGCTGACTGCTGGAAGTCGAAATTCAGCCGCTCGACCGAAATTGCGGCGCACCGGCTTTTTGAATCCGAACGGAAGGAGTCGGAAACATTCTCATTATCCTGAAAGGAAGTGCTCCAAGGACAGCCATGCGGCTGGGATGGCGCTACTGCATTGCTCTGGCTGCGATGGTGGCCATTTGGCTGGCAGTTGTGTTTCTCTTGTCGGACAAAATCATGAACTACGACCATTCCAAGTCCAGTGATCATGTCGAGCTGGTCTGGTGGTCAAGGGACATGTCCTGGAACTACGACGAGGTGCGCCAATGTGGCATCAACACTTGCCGCATCACCAACAAGCGACACCGCCTTCCGATGTCCCGGGTTCGTGAACAATGCTAAAAAATCTCGAATTCTAAGTCCACATCCGGCAGGGCTCTTGCTTATCAAGAGTAAGCAGTAATATATTTTACAGATTATTTAAGTAGCTGTTCCACAGCATTCAAATTTTAGATTAGCATTGTTCTATTTAAACTTTTTTTCCACAATGTAATGTATAAATTACAATCATACTTCCGCAAAAAAAGAAGCTGTGCCAGGAGTTATAGAAATATTTTTACGCTTACTGCTGCATTTAATTGTAAAAACAATACCATTATTTATTGCAGATTGGTTTTTTTTATGTTTGTATGATTTCCTAATTTATTTTGGTTTATTTTGAAAGAGTTTTCCGTTTTTAATAGAAACATAAACAAAAAGGACTGCTTAAATATATATATTAAAAAATAGATACTTCATTTTAGGAACACATTTTCAAGCTTAGTTCAAAAATGTAGAAATGTATTTTTAAAGTCGTAAATCTACATTTTTAAATGTTGTTCCTTTTAGAAGCACAAAATATTTTGGTAAGTTGAACACATAAAACTATAAGTAATATAGTTTATTTTAATGATAAGTGGAGGCTAAATAATTTTAAACTATAACTTCATGTTTAATGATAGATGACTTTTCGGTGGACATTGAGGAGTGATAAAATAATTCTAGTACAACAATTTGCCCTCAATCACAATTAATAAAATAAATAAAAGAAACAAATGAACAATAATTAATGAACCTACAATTATTTATATATTTTCGCAGGGCGTTCTGTTTTACGGCTCCAACATGAAGACTGGAGACTTCCCGGTGCCGCGAGGCAAGCAGCATGTGTGGGCCCTGCTGCATGAGGAATCACCCAGGAACACACCGTTTGTCTCCAACGATGAGTTCCTCCGGCACTTTCACTTCACCTCGACATTCAGCCGCTTTAGCAACATGCCGCTGACGACGCAGTACTTGCCCAGTGGCCAGGCGCTCACCTCGAAAGATTATCACGTTTCATTTGCCGGGAAGTCCAAGTGGGCATTCCGTCCATCCGCATCGATAGCTTTCATGCAAAGCGATTGTGACACGATGTCTGGAAGGGAGGATTATGTCAAGGAGCTGATGAAGTATCTCACGATCGATTCGTACGGCAGCTGCCTGCGTAACAAAGATCTTCCTGAAAGGCAAGTAGGCTACTCTTTTTGAGACCCCTTCAAATGCGACTATATTCTGCTCACACAAACCAACCACACGTACTACTTAGCACACAATAACTTTCTCTAGATAACCCAAGACAATCATGACATCGCCTCGAGCTGCGGAGCTCCCCAAGATCTGTTGTGTAGAGTGCTGGGTGCAGTTGTACGGATCGTTGCCATGTCACCATTGCAATCCTCAAAAAGGAAAAGTTTTAAATAACCAGTGTAATGTATTTGGGAACTGCCGTTGTCAAAAGGGTACTAATGCAAGTCAAGGAGAGTTTCTTTTCACCGACAATAATGAAGAAATAGACAGTTCGAACGAAGACTATGATGATATATCTTTAATTGACCGAAGTAATAATCGAGGATTGTAAAAAAGTCCTTCCCGAAAAGCAGCTATAGAAAATCTAAAACTAATTTAAAAAATTGAAATCAAAAAATTGAAAAACCATTTATAATACAATATTCTCGTTCGCTTTGTTGCAGCCTAAAAAACGACTACTTGAATAACCTTTATTCACCGGAGTTGCTGCGATTTCTTTCTGAATACAAGTTCATGATTGCCATTGAGAATGCTGCCTGCCCCGATTACATTACAGAGAAGTTTTGGCGTCCTTTGGTGATGGGGGTAATTCCAATTTACTTTGGTTCACCCACCATAAAAGTAAGTATATTTTTTAGGCATTTATTTACTATTTTTAAATATCTTCCACAAATATTGTAGGACTGGCAGCCGAATAATAAATCTGCGATTTTTGTAGAGGACTTTACACACCCACGGGGGTTGGCAAATTATTTAAACGAGTTGGCCGATAACCAAACTCTGTACGACTCGTACCGGCAGCACAAACTAAATTGGCGCAACCCCATCTCCAACAAGAAGTTGCTCCACAATTTGGTCACGCGGCAGTACCACATTGGCGATTCTTCTCCGGGAGCTTCACTCTTTGATAAGTTTGAGTGTTCGGTTTGCAACTATGTGATCAACACCGCCAGAAACGTAATGGCCAACTCGCGTCATTACAACTGCCCCTTGGAACCGGTGTACGCTCACCTGGAGGATAAGAAGATGCCCCGGAATGTCGCTGACTGGAGATCCATGATGGAAGTAGGCCAGTGTCAAGCAAAGATACTGGACGAGTTCTTTCGCCGAAATTCCAGCTTCCATGAAGCCGACTTTGAGGCTGAACTAACCCGAAGGATGGACAGAAATCAGTGCAAATAGATCGTGCAAGTTAACGGTCATCCTAAACATTCCTATATTTAGTGGTTGAAGCGTACGACAATAACACTCAGATTTTACCTTGTGATAATAAATAGTACTTTTATGAATTATTAATTTCATATAAAAATCGATCTTTAAGCTCTTTACTATTCCTTTAAACCCTTTACTTTAAATAAAATGTACCAAATCAAGTGCCAAAGCATTGTATTAACCTAATAAATATATATTTTTATAAATGTTTATTTAATGACTGCGACTTAGTCCTTCCGCTTTAAGCGAGTCCCTTGCAGTCTGAAATTTCACTGCTTATATAGGCAGCGTTAATAATCATGCTAATGATCATGATCTTCAGGCTCATCTTCTGATGTTGAATCTACTTTGTCCAACACGTCTGCTTCATACATATCGATTCTGGGCGATTCAAGCGGTGTACAAAAGTTTCCCAAGTTTTGATCATGGATTTGCACTTCGGGCTCTGAAGAAGATGTCGTTGGCGTCTCAGTCATCTTTATTACGCCTGATTCAGACTCTTCAACATTTTTGATTTTATCTCCGCTCACTATCGACTGCATTTGTCTAAAATTAGTTAGGAGCAGCTTAAAACAATACTCCAAAAAAATATAATAAGCTTGACCTTGTACTTACACCTGGTTAGAAAAATCCGCTGGCGAATTCTTTACTTCATTACAGCGATTTAAAAAGGGCCTCACTCGCCTTGCGGCTTGCTTAAACTTTAGATTTGGTTGTCTTCCTAACCTAATCATCTCTCTCAAAATAACCGCCTTAAAAACAGGTACTGAAGATCCCTCTGTTGTTTGCAAAACCAGCTTTAATTTTGATTTTAAACCCCTTATTATTGGACTCTTACGTTTCTTTGTAACTGCCAAACCCTTTCTTAAGGGGGTTATCTTACTCTTGGTCAATATTCGTGCCTGTTGACTGGGACTGGCACTTTCTGGGGCAGTGTGATTTTCTGCATTCGATTTTTCAAAACCAGTAAAATTTGGGCTGGTACATGGCTCGCCAGGATTTCTGCACTGACATCCCTTTAATGCACATACAAACATTTCGACTCCACAGCAAGTGCAACACCTTTTCAAATGACTCGTATAACTCGGCATTGCTCGATGATTAAGTAAAATGACAAAGTTTTATAATACTTTTCGTGGCAGTGATATACAAGATAATTTTGTGTTACTTTTCAGTTTAACTTTCTAGACTGTATGTGCTTATAATAATATTTTTGTGGTAGTGATATTCATGACAATTTTGTGTAACTTTCTAGACTTTGTGTGCTTAGAAAAAAGATTGACAATAAGCATTTAGAATTGGTTGCTAGGTTTTATAATAATTTAGTGAGCGTAACAATACTAAAAGTAAGTAAATTACAAAATAACTACATTCTAACGTATTGTTTAAGTACTGCTCGAAAGCAGTGCAGATTCTGAATCGAAAGGATAACTCTTTAAAACAATATATTTTGTATGATATGATTCCAGTTCTTTATCTGTAATGGGACAAGTTGAAATGCAAGAAGATCTTGAGTGTTCCGCAGCAACAATGTAACGCCCGCTCTAACTCCAGCTAAGCTCCCAATGATTTAATAAAACATAGATTTCATAAACTCTCAAACGTGGCACTCTTTATTAGCTAGCCATTTACATCTGCCAGTGCATCGTGGGCATGACCTCCTTGAGCTGGCCCATGTTGACGATCCACATGCTGCCGTTCTTCATCATCTCCATCGCGTGGATCATTTGCATGGCGGCCTCCTCGGGCATTTGGCGCTTGGCGCTCTGGATAGCCTCCACCATGGACTCGGAATGGTGCCAGGTGACGTTGTCGCGCAGGTTCATCATCATCTCGCTGTTGGTGAGTCCTGGGCACATAGCCATGAACATGACGCCGGTCTTCTGGTAGATCATTTTGTCACCCATTGAGCGGGTGAATCCGAGGATGCCGTGCATGGCGGCGGCGTAGACGGCAAAGGCGGGTGCTGGCTCCAGGCCATAAACGGAGGACATGTTGACCACCATGCCGCCCATGCCCATCTGGGTCTTGTCCATGTACGGCATCGCCATCATGGTCGAGTGGATCATGCCAGTCTGGAGGAGAAAGATTCGAAACAGGAGTTGAAAAAAAAAAGACATGTATTCAAGTTTGGAAGACTTACCAGGTTCATGCCCATTGTCATCTCCACATCCTTGTCGAGCAGGACACTCTCGCCGTTGATCATCACATCGATGTGGCCCATCATCTGGCCCATTTTCTTCATCGCCTGATCGATCGACATCCTTTCCATGAGGTTCATTTGCATGAAGACCACCTTCACGGAGGGATTCATGGCCTGCAGCTTCTTCATCATCTCGACGTTCTCCATGCGATGCATGATGCCCATCATTTTGATGTCCTTTTCCATCAGCTGCATCATCATCTGCCAGCCGATGCCGCTGAAGCTGCCGACGTACACAACATTCTTACCAGTCCAGTCGAACATATTGACTTGAGGTTGGGTATTTGGATTGGATTGACTAAGGCTGGATGGCGTTGGGATGACTGGCTGACTCCGTCTGATTTAGTCCCAGCAGGTTACTGCTCTTATATAATATCCCTGATGCACCGAATCCAGATGTCCAGCGCATCTGCTCTGATAACTTTGTTTCAGAATTGCAATAACAGCGCCATAATTTCAGCTATCTTCGTGGGGTCAGCGGGTTGAAGATCAGGTTCCTGCCCATGTTGATACTTTGAGTTGGAAAAGACGACAACAAGCCCGTCACCATCTGTTGCCAGTGGGGACCAGATAAGACTGCTATCGACGTGGAGGGCGTTGGCTGGTTCAGCCGATCTCTCACCACCTGACGACACACCAATATTTCAATTAGGCCCGACACTATGAACTTCCAAAATTAGCTTAATACAATGTTGCAATGATTAGGAAATCTTGCATCAGATTTTTTTTTTAGGAAATATGGTATTCCCTTGTATATACATTATATAATTTCAGATTGGCACCATTAAAAGTTTCTGATTCATCTTTGATTGGTTAGCAATTTGCACCCGATCTAAGTTTTTGTATTCTGTACTACATTGTAACATATGTAGTTATAATAGCAGGATATATCTATTAATATAGCAAGTAATGCATTTTTGTTTTGAACTTCTGTTACCATGATTCCAAGTCCATATAATAAACACCAGGAATTCTTAAGAAAACATTATTAAATATTTATTACATTTTCAAATTACTTATTTAAACACTTTCTTAGACAATCACAGATGTTTTGGTTACAACGATGCGTGCTATGGAATATATACAAATGCTAGAGAACAAGTATTTTTCTATATCAATCAAAATCAACTTTCATCTCAAGGTTCTTCCTCGTCATCAATAAATAATCTCTGAATTTCGCTTGGCAAGTAAAGGGTTGTTGCTCTCTTTCTAAGGACCTTTTCTATCGATAGAGTTTCACCAGCACAAAACTACTGAGCAGAGCAATCAAAGTGGGTGCCATTCGTGATCCGCCGCCTCCAGCATTTGGTGGATTCGCGGTTGTCGGCTTGCTAGATCCCGAATTTTCTGAAGAACCGCTATCAGACTTTAAGTCGGGATTATAGTCGCCGCAGGTGGGGAAGTTCTCCGGCACCGGGACCATTTCATCATCGTCACCCACTTTGAAGACCAGGGCCATGCCAATCTCCGCATGAAACTCGATGTGACAGTGGAAGAGCCAATAGCCGGGATTGGAGGCCTCGAATCTAATAATGGTGTAGCCTCCATCGGGAATAGTAACGGTGTCCTTAACAGGCGGGTTGTCAAGGTTGCGTTTGAGTAAATTGAACTGATCCAGTTGTTTGATCTGAAAGAAAAAAGGGTTAAGGTTTGTTACTTAAGTTAACTTAAGTCTTACCATTTCTACGGTGACATTTTCGCCCAATCGTTCCAATGCCATTACTCTGAAGGCGTTTCCGTGCAAATGGAAGGGATGGTTTGCGTAGTACTGGAATCCCTCATCCACGATGATCATCTCGACCACTGCACCCAAGGGCACCTGCAGAACATGGTGGCACTTGCAGAACTCTTTGCGGCAATCAATGCCCTGATTCTCCAGACTCGTTTCGTTGCAGAAGTCGGAATCCTTCAGCTGACTCCTCGAGGGAAGTAGTGCCAGCGAGGGAAACTTCAGGGTGATGTGATTTAGTTGGGGGGTGTAAAGACGGTTTGCCTGTGTCATTTCCATGTCCATTGCATAGAGATTCTGGTCGTGGAAGTCGGGATTGTTCTTGGTGTAAAAGTCGTAGTAGATAAAGAACTTGTAGTCTGCCTCCGGCTTGAGGGTATCGTGATCGATGCCAGACACATGATCGTAGATGGGCAGAGCCCTCATCTCGGCGACGGTTTTGGTGTCCGGATATCCAGGACCGCGGTTCATTACGTTCAGTTCAATGCCCTCTGCTTTGTGGGCGTAACTCAATTCTGCGGTGGGCTCCTCGTCCGGAGCTCCTTCATAGCGGAGGATGCCCACTTGGAAGGCGGAGGTGAAGACTTCGCTGCAGTCCATCAATCCCTTCAACCGAATCCAATAATTTCCCACCTCGAGATTGGCATTCAGCACAAAATCGAATCGCTCCCCGGAATAAGTAACAATAGAACCTACATCCATTGCCTCGATATCAAAGCCATCTGAGTTAATTGCTGTTAGATTGTGACCATCTATGGAAACCACAATCGGACAGTTAAGGTACTCCGCATTTATAATCCTGAAGCGGTAGCGAAAACCTCTCCTCACAGAAAAGACTTGATGAGGTACTAGTTCCAAGGGTATCTCATTCAGATTACCCCTCTTTTGGCGGGAATTCACGGGAAATAGTTTTGTGGTGTTACTCTTAGCCAAACGAGCTTGCCTCGGTAGAGTTTGAACGAAATCCACCTGGGATTTGGGCAGTGGATCCAATGCCTGTGTGGTCCTCTCCTCAGTTCGGCGATGGGTTTGCTTGGCTTCCGCCCAAATGCGGTTGTAATAACGTCCTTTTCCGTTTATAAGCAGATTGTGTGGTTTGTTGTCACCCCTGGAGTGATGATGATAGGAAAAAATGCTGGCTCCCGTATCGTGTATCCAATCCTGGACAATCATCACATGCTCGCTGAGGTCAAAGTCGTAGAGTCCGCCATGAGGTTCGGCAGCCTTGGGTTTCCGGATGATCAGAGCACCGAACACACCATCTCCTCGCTGCATTCCAGTGTGCGAGTGCCAGAAGTGAGTGCCCGAGAGGTCAGCAGGGAAGGTATATCTGAAGGTCGCATGTGGGGTAATTGGACACTGGGTGATGTGGGGCACCCCGTCCATATAGGGGGTCTTCTTCTGGTGCAGACCATGCCAGTGTATCGAGGTACTCTCGCCCAGCAAATGATTCTTCACATCCACCACTATCTCATCTCCCTCGCAAACTTCAATCGCCGGTCCCGGCATCATGCGGTTTACCACGGTGATACTTCGCTCTAGACCATCACCCATGACACAATGAGGTCGGGAGCAGTCCGTTAGATTCCGAGGACAATCGTAACAGGCTTTCGAAAAGGTCTGGTACCACTCGACCACAAAAGTATAGCGACAGGTCATGGGTTCGGCACCGATCTGACAATCCCGATTACATGGATGCTTGCGATACCATTCGGCTGTCCAAATATCCTCTGTGCTTTCCTCATCAGTATCCTGGAGCTCCTCAATCCTGGCTGTTTGGAGTGGTCTGCAGTAGGGACAACAATTGCGAACCTCTAACCTCGAGGCTGGACAATCTTCAGTCAATGCCGGACAGCTTCTTTTGTATGTGTTCATGATGATCTGGCCATTATCCAGACGACCGCACTCGAGAAGAGTGCAATCTGCGTCATTGTGCCAGGACTCACCCACGGCATAAAGGGTATGATTGTGCTGACAGTGGGTCCTCACGCACTCCCCACAACAACTGCCTTCCACACTGCGCAGCTCAGAGCCCTGTAATATGGAAAAACATTGATAAGAATATAATTTTGTAAAGATAAGGTTTGATTTACTACTTACCACTTCGCAGTAGAACTCATTGCAATCGACCTGGGTCACCACAATATGAGCCTGTGGATCCTTGGCCACACCAGCTGCACAGGAATACACCAAACAAGGATCTCTGGCCGCAAACCACACGGCTCCAATCTCCTTTCGGTAAGTGGTGTTGTGTTCTTGGTACAGACATATTGTATTTTCTGCTAAAAATGAAAATGAAAACATTTGTAAGTAAGTAAGTGATTTATATAAAAGGTTATTATAATTAATTATAAAGCAGATCTACATTCTTGAGCTTAAAAAAACAGACACACCAAGGAATCATTCGGCTTTGTTCTTGTTTGGCCTGGCAAACAGTCGTCTAGTGAGACTTATCCTCAAGCAAATATAATTCACTGGGTCATAACCAAAAAAAACCGAAAGCAAAATAGACAAATATAAACAATTTGAGACCAAAACACTTTTCGTTGTCATTTTGGCGGCATATCACGCGCCTGAGATTCGCAATTTATAGCTCATTTAATTGAATGCATGGCTTAGTTTCACACTTTGGAATTCCTACATGTGTCTTGTATTTCAGGGTGCTATTATTAGATCATAAATGTTCATTACACATGCTAATTGTTTGGCCTCAGGTGCCTTGAACTGTGAGTCACAGACTAGCAGACATGTGCGAATTATTATGAAAGTGACAATTATGACTTAGTTCTCACAATATAAAGGAAAACCCGTTTTGGTTATATACTGGTATTTAAATATTACTTGATATTCTATTAAAAACTAAAATCTTCAATTCTAATCCTTTTTTTAATAAATACTTATTATACTCATATTTTCATATCTGAAAGCACAAAAAGCTGCTAATAAATCTCTTTTCAACATTCTAAGAATAATTGGATTTACATTCTTCAGACATTTTATCTGAATAGCCGCATTGATTGCCCATATATAATGCGACAAGTGTCGACATTCGTATGTAAATTAGTGCACACACATTCAATAAGGCGATAAAATACAAATTAAAATGCCATCAAGATCCGGATCGAGTTAGGTAAGCTGACCCGCTAGTTAGAAGTTTATAATTTTCGCAGATAATTCCAGTTTAGTATTTTTTGCCCTTTGTCAATGAGGAATGAGTAAGCATTAGCTTGTAATCGGATATTACCTGCCGATCTATGGGAAATTTCGAGTGCTTGGCTAATCTTCATAAGCCCCGCCATAGGACCATAAAAATATTTGATCATGAACATGGCTTAGCCAAACCGAACAAAAGTAAATATTTCGCAGTTCTAATCGTTACCCAATAGGAACAATAGCGTTGACAATCGGAAAATCACTGCTAAAAATACGCACACATTAAAAAACAATTAGCTTTACGACAGCACGAAATTGTGATTAAGAATCCGATAAGCTGATAAGAAGTTCTTGTTTAGCTTCTAAGAAAAACAATAATTTTTCTTGTAATTAAGCAAATAAAGAATAATGGCATTTTTTTGATTAGGGGTAAAGTATTACTGCAGCAGAAAGTCATCATTGCGTTATGTTTTTCAATACTGTAGTTAAATTCTGTTTTTTTTGTTAGACTATACTGTTTAGACAAACACCACACGATAATTTACACCTTCCGAATATATAATTTTATTTATTACTTTCTGAAGTGCGCAAGTTGTTAATCTAATTTAATAGATCAATCGGCAATTGCAAATTTTACTGCCCGTTTTTAGCTGTTTTGCTTAATGCTAAACTTAGAAATGAAGTTTATTGGATTTCTGTCGGGAACGCGTTCTATTCTTAAAAAGGCTTTTAAAACTTCTTCAATAACAAAACACATTATTCATGAATGAATCAACAGTTTTGTCGTGAAGTGAAATATGAGCTTAAGGCATATGGGACTGAAGCTCATCCTGGTTGGGTTTTCTTTTATTTTTCCTTTTTTTGAAGGGAAACTGGGCGATGTCAGCAGCTGTTTGGCATATAAATTATACCATATGCGAGTGCTGCACGTACCTCGTACATATGTATATAGCCAGCTCTGTTAGGCGGATGTCTGTCAGTTAAGCATTAAGGCCGCGTTTATGGACTGCTTTTCGGTGAGTGCGAGTGTGGGGGGATTTCAGCGTTGGGCTGCATCATTTATTGGCTCGTTATGGCCATTATTATGATTGCTTACCTACCGGCGTTTGTTTAAACCATCAAGCACTCGCTTGATTATTTGCCGGACTTACGCAAATTCACATGCCAGGTGGGCAGATACTTATTTTTCGCATGTAAGTGGCAATCGCTGTTTACATTGTCTAAAGAAAATATAAATGAGTTTATATTACTTGGTGCTAATGTTTATGCCGGCATTAATATTGGCCAAGGTCGATTGGCGTTAATTGCCTCGTGGAGCTTCTATCGGTTTACATGGGTTTTGAGATTCTTCATCAAAGCAGAAACTAATTACAGAAATAAATTTACTAAGATGTAGTTTTAGAAAACATATTTAAAAAAAAAGAAAAAATTTCGTGATTAAGATAAATTTAAATTAAGAGGGATAACTGAAGGTGAAATTAATAATAAAATGTACTTCAATTACCATGATTGGGTATACGGAATGAACTTAAGTTTAGTATTTTGTTCTTTTATTAAAATAATAGGTAAATAAATCCTAGTTCTGATCTTTAAAAATTAAAATTTAGATTAAATCTTATTGAAACTTAAAGAAAATCATTTTTAATATTGCATAATTGTTCTTTTCATTTTAAAAACAATAATTTTATTACATATTTTATTATTATTTTCAGTGCACTCACCTGCTGATTCGTTTACGGTTTGCAAGCCACTGGCGTGACTCACAAACTGCAGCAGCACTGTTAAGATGACTGTTAAGCGAGATATTTCTGTGAATCTGCTGTTGACAACCCTCATTTTGTTGTTGGTTCTGCTTGGCCTCTTTGTTGCTATTACTGTTGTTTTTGTGGGCTGGCTCATTTGGTCATAATTATGGCTTACGCTCATTCAATTTGAGGTTATTGTTTTGGTTTTTATCCCAATTGTTGCTGGCTGGTTTTTTTTTGGTCACGATTGTCTCTTATTGAATATTTTGGAAGCTATTGTGTGTGTGGATATGCGGAAGTTGCTGATGATTTTAACCACAAATTGCCTGCAAATGAGACACATAAAGTGAACATCGACTATTATTAGTACAAGTTGTGGGCTTCAATTACACTTAATATTGTTATTATATGTATTTATTCAGCTGCTGATTGTAGCATTTAATTTCAAATTTTATTGGAATATTTTTCTTATTGTACCAATTATATTTGACTTGCTTGGCAGATGGTCTTGTTGAATGTTGATAAAACGAGTTGCTCTGGCATTAAAGATGTTATATTATTTTTTATTGAAGCCAATTCTGATATATGTACTTGTGTCGGAGACGAGAAGAAGTTGCCCTGGTTGAAGGCCACTTAACACTCTAATGACCGTAATAAAGTTTGTGTTAAAAAAAAACCCTAAAATCTTGTTTTTTTACGTCTTACAAATCAAGGAATTTGACTTTAAATTTAACATCAGTTAAGCATTAAAAAAGTATTTGTCTTTGAATATAGTAAACGTTTTATTAAAGCTCCTGTGCTATGATGCCATGCCTCATATTGCTTTCATTTCCCCAACCAAAACTCTTTTGCCTAATCGAGTTTTCTTCTAATAAACAATAACAATTATACAAATTGTTTTTCTCTTGTTATTGCCAAACTCAATCAATGGAAATATCCTCTAACCCTATAACCACATTAGCCTGGCATCCTGTATTGAACTCGTCGCCCGAAAGAAAGTAGCACGCACATGGCCGAAAAGGGCAAACATATGAGGCTATATATTGTATATTAAGTTAAGTATGATTTACGGCCCGACTGTAAATATCACTCATACGCTCCGTGGTGCTCTTGTGTGCATGTGGGCTTTTGCCTTTGGTCCTATCAGCACATGGCCAGCAAGTTGATTCGCCGGCTCAACTCAAGACAGTTGCACATCCAAACACACACACACACAAGGCACGTACGAATTTAATTAATTAGCACGCTGTTCCTTAAACACACACGCACACAGAGGCACAAGCTCACGTCCGCCAATGGGTCCACTGTCCATAAGCCAAAGTCCGTTGGAGCCCCACACATAAAGAAAACTGCGCATAAATTATGAAAAGCAAAAGCGGTGCTGGAGAGGAAAATTCGAAAGAAATGGCTCAAGACATTTTTCATGCGCATCAAGTTGTGTTTAGGCTTCAATTTTCTTGGAATTGTAGCTCAATACAATCGTTATCCTTCGAAATAATGTTGTTTCCAGATGACAATAAGTTGTACTTAGTCATTAAAACTTAATAGTTGGAGTGTAGTAATAAAATATTTTTCCAAAGACCCAAAAAAAATAGAATAAAAATTCATAATTAACTATTTTAAATTTTGAATTAAATTGTATTACTTATTAAAGGGTATTCTGATTTCGCCTAAGCTGTTTTAAATGCTTCCTTCCTTTGTCTTTCCCCATGACTTTCGCTTTTATTTGGCAGGACTTAAAGAATCTGAAAGATTTATGTACTGCTAGTACCTTAAGGGCCAATGGACCTAACGCACTTCCGTTAATGAGGATCTAAGTATCCGGCTGCGAGGCCCTCAATTTAAGCCATGAGTAAAACAACATAAAAACACCAAAATTGAAAACCTTTTAAAGATTGGTATAATAACGAATATAATTTTTTAATAAACCCTGCTGCCAGCCGGAACTAAAATATTAATTAATACGGGGGTTTTGGCCCATTCAAATGAGTAATCAATCAAAGCTCAAATATTTGTTCGATGCTCGATGTTTTCCTTAGATGACTTTTAGCTCAATTAATTCTCATCATCTTTCATATATCTTAAGTGGTTCTGACCGGTGTTTTTTTGCCGACGTGAGTAAATTGTTTGGTGACTGTCTAATGCTTTGTGACAGACAATCACTTTAATTAACATGCCTCTTTGATTCTGTATTACAAAAGTCACGTGGGCACTGACCGCTTACTCATTGTGTATGTGGGCTAATAAGATCTGCGATTTTGATTTGAGCTGCCATCAAAATCCCACTAGGGTATTCCCTGAAAATTAGCACCTGGAGCGAAACACATTTTTGCGTTTTCTTTTGCGGTGACCTAATGAATATTTATTTTCTATTTCTTTAAAATTGATCTCAGTCTGGGTAAGGTTGCTGTTCCTCTTGAATGATTACAGAGACTAGAGAAATCCATTCAATTTACATTTTAAATCTTGAGAAACTAGAACAATGAAAGTATTAGATGTTCGAGCCTAAATTCCAATGAACTTAATAATGGGGATTTTTTAATTTAATGTCATACATATTCCACTGAACGGAAAGTCGTATTTTCATTTTATTATGATGTCAACTATTAATACTTAATAACAAGGGTTATTCAAATGTATTTCTTAATAAAATAACGAATATAATACCGCATCTTTAAAAGGAATTTAATGTATGCACTTGTCACATTTCAACAGCTTGACCAATTTGAACGCAACTTTGCAGATGGGCTTGGCACAAACACAATGTTTATTTAATCAAGCTTTTCATTTTTAAATGCATTCTGGTGGGCCTTTTAAGCCTTTCATTGATTGAACTTTGTCAGATTAACTTTAATTGTTCATTCATTTAATGGCCAATTTGTTTCTACCATCACTAAATTTCTCTGGCAATCAATCAGAAAATGTTGTTATGCAAAGTTTGCTTTTATAATTTTTTGCTTTGGAATTTTGTGTATTTTTACGTATGTAGGTACTACCGAACCACACGTTCGTAAAACGTTACATAATGCTCAAAGTGCTTTCCGTTTCACGTTTTTACATACAATCATCAGGCTTGTTTATTATAATTTGATTTATTTAAGACCTTTTTTTTTAACGAGTATCTTCCCTGGCTGTCCACTTATTTTGACAACAATTAGCTGATGCTGTGGCTGCTGCTTGACCGCATTTTCGATCTCTTTGTTGGCCATATGTTGGGGTAGGCAGCGAAAGAGTAAAATCCGATAAAAACATGGCAAAAGCGGAGATGGAATGAAAGGTTTTTAAGCGGCTTATCGCAGGTCCGGCGTTACGATGGCCAATTGGGGTTCCCGTTTTCTCCCTGGGAAATCCCTGACACATCACCCATCACTTGCTCAAAGCCAGGTTCTTGCCAATACATCTATTGCTGGCCATGGTCAGCCGGTTTTATCGACGAACCAGTCTTTTCCGAGCTATTTTTACTTACAAGCCGCGACCAAAACAAAAAACCGAAATCAAAACAAACTTTGGGTCATGCTTGAATCGAGTTACGTGCAGACGTGAAAAAAAGTAACAAAGTGAAGAACAAAAACCCAAAACCTTTTGTATTTGCCTGTATGTTTTTTTTTGAAAAAAAAATTTGGCAGTTATTTATGAATTGTGAATCATGTATTTGAAAGATTAATCTTGAGGGCCTTTTCTTGTTGATGATTAGAATCTCTACGGGTAAATGAATGGAGCAATTATTTGTTGTGCTGCTGTGCTTGGCCAGTCAAAAAACAATTTATGGGATTTTTCTCAATGTCACGGCCGTTTGTAAATGATTAAAAGGTGGGAGGCGGTAAACTGCAAAAGCGTCGAATGGAAAATTCCCATCAAAGATATTAAATTATTCATTGCTGCGGCTTAAATTTTGTTTGTCAAAGTTATGCAAACATGGTTTTTTTAATTTAGATATTTTTAAATATTTGTTTTTATATGTGATTTTTTCTTTTTATTAATAAGTTTTTAACATATTTAAAGCAGTTCAACTAAAATATTATTACTGCCTTTCACAGAATCTATATTTTACCCAGATTTAATGATTTAAATCAGATTTTTATCACTTGCCACCGGATTTTCTTTTAAAAGCTTAACATTACAACCAATATTCTAATAACTAGTAAAACAATTTGAATTATTTCGTATTCCCAATACAAGATTTCGCCACAATTATCATCACAGTGACTGCAGGGTTATATCAAAGTTTTTGTTTTTAAAATGATTATGGAACACAATTAAAACATTTATGGCCTACGTGAATTGTGTTAGTCAGTGTGCGATGAAGTTCGCGCTCTCTTGGCTTTATCCCAGCGATTTAATTCACTTATCACACGACTCTGGGCATTATGATATCACAAAATACTATTTGCTTAGCACCGACGCGACCGAATTTTATTGCGTACAGATTAAGGTCTGGTTTGAAATTCGTTGGGAACCCAATCACTCGAGGCTAGGAGGTACAAAGTCCTTCAAAGTTTAGGGATATTTTCTTGCCGTTTTTGAACTATTATAGATGCGCACCGCTCGCCGCTTAAACCGCAACTAACTCGCGCCGAATGCAACTAAGGCGCTTTTGAAGATAGCCAACGACGCGCCGAAGAAAACGCGCTAAAACTGAGTGTGATTCCAGCCCAGTTCATGACGAAGTCTCGACCCTTTTGGCCCGTTCGCTTCGACCGCTTCGGCAGCTGATAACGGGGCCGAAACGATCGGCTGAGAGAGCCGGCGATCGCCAGAGAGTGAGAGTGTCTTGTTGCCACCGTAATTAACCCGCACTTGTTGGCCATGTTAACATCGGTACACGGCTAACAGAGATCTCGTGCATTTATCTCCGTTGATTGGTCGAATGTTAAGATCTCCCCTCAGAACCTGCCGACGTCTTGCTTCCGCCTCTTGATTAGAATTCTTCACCTTTCTAGACTCTGTGTCACTCTGTGCTACTCCCCATCCATTGATATTGTGTCGATCTTTGCATTTATTAAAATCTGTCCCAGCGTATTTGCATTGATATTTTAATTTTAACCAATGTCGAGACTGCTTTGCGCTTGTTCGTTTTGATTGGTTTTTTCTTCTTTTTTAATAAGAGTCTCAACTTTTATTGGAATGTAGTTGCCATGATGAGGAAACTGGATTTTTGTCCAGATTGCTACTTGAATTCGACTTGATTGCTACTTGATATTGCCACCGCCGTTAAAAAGAATATTAATTAAACGATTGGTGTCGACCGTATTTTTAGCATGAATTCGCACAGTATATTGAACTTGGTATATAAATATGTACATTTTGAAGCAACTGTGTCTGGCTTAAAAATATTTGTCACTTCTTTAAGAAATTTAAAAATAATTTTATAGATTTAATTTAATTGGTTATGGCATATAGAATAAGATATTATAAAGATAACATAGAAATACTGCCAAAATAACATTTTGTACCTATTTTGAAGAAAAAAAACTTCAAGCGTTTGGTTTTTAATTGAGATTAATTTTATTATGTTTAAAAATGTTAATATAAAAAAAAACATTCACAAATTTGTTACAATTTATTTAGAAATCTTCTTTATAAGCTAATAAAAAAGAATATACGGTTCGCATATCGAATAAAGATGAATAGTTCACGTCAACAATTTTTTCTTCAATTGTAACAATTATGTATGAATAATAAAGAAAACAAATTTAAAATACCTTTGCAATGAAAATATCATGGCGGAAATTCAGAGATTGTACAATGGAAAGAAAAATCTATGTTTTTTAAGACAATTATAAATAAGTATTTTTTAATTTAACTATCATTAAGTTCGTTTCTGGTGCACAATAAAATCAAACTTTAACTACATCGCATCCTTAAAATATAACCGGTAAATATTTAAAGTCATTTATTTCGGTATTTAATTTTTAATTTATAATTTCAGAAACCAAGCTTTGTTGACAAATTGTGCACAGTGTACAGCCAAACTGTATTCACCACACATGGCCAAGAGATTGAGAGGTGAAAGCTCCGCTCTCCGTCTTTCGGCAACTTCATCCGGCAGCATCCTGTTAATGGTCCTCACGAAGGCTCCCCGAACTCATGCGACCCGAATGCCCGAAGGCAAGGAGCCCACGCTGCATACTACGGATAGTACTACCGCATGTCCTTTTCGCAGGCTGCGCGCTGCGTTCAATTTTCCGTATGGGTTTCGGTTTCAGTTCGCTTGTGGACGTGCGTGCGGCAAGAACCTGCTAGAAAAGAATCGGATCGGACCTGGTTAATGGTTACTGGTTTCTGGTTAGTGTGGCACCAATCGAATGGCTATCGCCCGGATGGGCGAAAGGATAGACGTATGGATCTGTGGAATGCTGAGAATGTGCCAATATGCCAGTGCCGCGTTTGTGGGAGTGGGAGTGTGAGTGAGTGGGTGTGAGACAGTGTCCTTGGGCGGACTAACAGGTTCCCCGTCTTCCCAAGTGTTAAAGTGCGGCCAAAAGTGTTTCCAAAAAATACGATAAAAAGTTTTAAATCTGCTGCCACCTCCGATTTAAGTCGAAAGTTTGCCTAAAGGATTAAAAACACCCACTTGGACTTGTCATAGGTAAGTTGTCCAGTTTGTTTTGGTTATTTTTTTAACAGGGCTTTGAAGCTCCCTTTTTTGGAACTGTCGCCTTTGTTTTCCGGTCCCGACCTTTAATGTCATCCCTTGGATTTCTTTTAGTTGCTGCTGTTTCGGTTTTTGCCCACTACCCTGGGAGCCATAAAATAAATCAGCCAAAATGTAGGTGGCCCTTTGTGCCGACTTCAATTTATTTTGGTCTCCAATGAGCCCAACTTTCTATGCAGAGATAATCTATAGTAATGGCATGTGTGGTGTGCCAGTTATGTGTAGTATGAAATTAGCAGCATATTTATGAAACTATTTTTCACTGGGAACTGAGCGATTAAATAAATATATTAGGGTATTGATAAAAAGATTAGAAAAGGCTTACAAAATTAGCATATTTATAAATCGACTAAAATAGTCAAACCAAAAAATAGAGAGCTTTGCGAAGCGGAAATTTGCACATAATTTGAAAAATCCGTAAAATTGTTGGTGGACCTAAATTTAAAATATTTTTTGGCTTACTACTCGGTCGGGAAATTCTACCTTTCCCTGTTTCGCTTTTTTTCCCTTTTTATTTTATTGTAGTTTTCGGTGTTGGCCAGCGGCAAAAAGGTTTAATTTATGGTCTTTTCAGATTGGCCCAATGCCCACGATACATTTGCGAGACACTTTTGCAGTGCCGAAACTTTTTTGTTTCCTGTCAACTTTGGTGACATTTTATGTGGACCACGCGGGCACAAAGTCCAATAAACATAAACACAAAATAGTCGCAAGTGCCAAACAAAGAAGCTGTAAAAAGCCGCCGAGAAATGCCAGTTAACTTTCCCCACATTCATCAAAGTTTTCGGCTTTATGCGAGATGCGTGCGAGCAATGAAAATCCTTTATGCTTTGTAATTGAGTTATGAGGCGCTACCAAGAACAAGAATGAAAATGCCTGGACTACTTAACAACCGACTTACCCACACTCGTAGATAAACAAACACGCACACTAAAGGTTGTACTTGTACACGCTAAAAAAAGAATTGGCGCATAAGAAATAAAAAAAAAGTGTCTAAAATGAAGTTTAATTGACCAATAGCTAATTAGGTAAAGCTTAATTTAAGGCGTTTTCAATTTCTAATTAAAATTGTTGCTGAAAATATTTTTAACAATTACAACTTTTGTAACAGAAGGTTTCATAGCTGTCCATTTGGACAGTTACCTACAAAGTATTGCCTAATGATATTGTTGTAAAGTTTTAAACAAATATTACAATTTTTTAAAAATATTTTATAAAATAAATAAGTGAGTTTTAGCTTGTATCCAGCGGTTAACGTTGTATCGGCCAGAGAAATACTGGCCTGGAAAAAAATAAAGACACAGAGCTTTAAAAATAAATAACTTTTTTTTCATAAAACTGCATAACAATATATTTCCTGAAACTACTAATAAAAGTATGTATATATTTATGTTTAAGAATATAACTTTTGTGCTGTGTAGGACAGAGACATTCAAACCGGGAGAGTAAATTACTGAAAAAAGATATAAAACAAAGCAGGAGACAACCACGAAGGAGTGAAGCAGAGACGAGAAAAGTAATTAAGGCGACAGAAGGAGGAGGTGAAACACTGAGGAGAGCAGGACGGATTGGTCATAAAACATGTACGCAAACAAAAATTAAGGCATAAACTACAATTGTTCAGATTATTGCACGTCGTGAGCTTAATGCAGCGGACAATGAGGATTTGAGGACTCGTTTCGCCAACGACTGGAAGCAGTGGGAATGTGATGTCCTTTAATGGCTTTTCGCCTGCTTTATAATTTTGCAATTGTCATTGTCGTCACTGGCATGTAATTTTGCTTTATCGAACTGCCATTTGCCTTCTGTTTCTCTCTCTTTTTCTCCTTCTGTGTGCCAGCTAGAGTGTTGGTCTACGGCAAACGGGGCGTATACACAATATGAATAATTTATGTTTAAATTGGAAAATGGCTCGCAAACAAATAAAATTCTAATTGCAGGGAAGGCACTAGCTGGACAGGGCTTGCATAGGTTTTGAGTTCAAGTCAAGTCGTTAACTTAGGTTTTTGACCTAAAAAGAAGAGAGAGACAAACATTCGAAAACTATATTTTTATTGGCTTTAACCAAAAATGTAGAAATAATTTTTGTTCTTTAATTTATATTATGGTCGCCTTTTGTCATTTAAATTTGATCTGCAATTGGCAGATTTGGTAATTTAATTTTAATGGTTATCGACAAACTCCATTAACTTTTTGGCTCACGTCGTCCTCGATGTCACTCACTCTATCCATTAAGTTTTGTGCTTGTTTTATTCACAGCATAAAATAATGGCGATAAATCAACCTTTTCTGCTGAAAAAATCAATCGTTACCTTAATTAAAACTGATGAAAATTCGATCACCTCCTTTTTTATTTTTGCATTCATAAATCAATCAAATTATTTCGGTATTCTGACAAGAAGCTAGCACTCCACTATAAATTACAATATTTTTTGTCTGTAAGAAAACTGATAGTTTTTCCCCAAGTTAGTTTATTAAGATTTATGCATTTATTTACATATCAACAACTTAAAAAGTTACTTTAGGTCAAAAAATAAGTTTTGCCAATTAATTTATGTTAAAAGCAAACCTTGAAGTAAACCAAAGCCGCAAAACTTTCAAGACCTTTATTGATAAAAACTGGATAAAGTTGCCTAAATGAAAAAGTTCCATCCGCCTTGATTTTTGCCGACAGCATAAACTCAAGATATTGGACAACAGGTTTTGAAAAATGCCACTAAAGGTAAAGTTTCCCGGATGGAAAGTGGTTAGCGTAGAATGCGCCCAAAAGCATTTGCAATGAAATTCCAAGAAAATGCCAGGGAAGAGTGGCTAGAAAAATGTTTCCGTTTTGCTGCCTGCGGGGACAGGCGGCCATCAACGGGGACTCCCCTTCATGTGGGTGCGAAGTGTGTGTGGGGGGAGGGGGTCTAGGAATGGGACCTCGGACCCCACGGGCATAGAAAAAGGAGCGGGGGCCTGTCATCGACAACAGCTGCTGCTTTCATGTCTGTGACCTACTGACTTGTGTAGCCTACTTTCCGGCGCTCCACCCACTCCTTTTGCACGCTCCTGCGGAAGCTGCGCTTAATGACAGCGTCGGCCTTGCTGCACTTATCCCCCCCTAACCCCACCCCACTCCCTCGAATTCTCTGGCACTGACGTTGACACAATTAAGAGCATGAAAAATACTTTGAAAATTTAATTAAACAGCCCGCCATTGACGTCACCACATAACCGAGTTCTTCTTAAGTATGTGGATGCCTTGTCGGCCGGAGAAATGCGTTTCCACGCATCCAACTCCATGCCATTTGTCAAGTGTGCTCGTGATCTCATCGATGCCTTTTGTGGCCTGATTGCCATTCCGCATGACTTAATGTCGGACCGATAAGAATTTCCAGGTTTCGACTGCTATTTGCACGAGTAGTTATAAAAAATATGTCAGGAAATGATGCGGCTGATAGCAGGTGACAAGCAGCAATCATTTCTTAGATCATTTCTATGGGAATTACGTAAAAAACGCGATATGCAGGTGTGGAAAAAATGTGACTAAGAATAGGGAAATTCTCGTGTTACCAAAAATTTCGAAAGCTTAGCTTCATTTATAAAAAAAAAAGATTGGATACTAATTTCTCTAACGAGCAACTGAACCTTAAAATTAATTACACAGCCTTCGATCAAACTCTGTGGTTTATTTCTGATTTATATGTTTGCCTAACCCATAAAACGTGTTTTACATAAAGCCCACAACCACCAGATCGAGTACTTGCGTAAACAATTTGACAAAATCCAATACATGAGTATTCGACAGAAAACAAATTATTTAACCTGAAACCTCGGCACGTGATGCAAACACAGGTGGAATCCGGTGAGGGAATGGGCATGAAAAGTCCCTGCCAAAATGTAATTTAAGTCTGTAAAACATTTACTTTATGGCAAATAAAATGTACTGCTATGGGTGAGCGGGTGTGTTTGCCTTGGGTTTGCAGGCAAACATGTTTGCTTTTAATTAAAGGCCAGCAGGGACATTTGCCGAACCAGAAACAGAGGCAGAAACTAAGCCAGCTTTTGCCAGCCGAGCAAATTGCGATATCCGATGGGAATGAAATGAAATATTTTTCAATATCCCATTGGGAGCGGCCTGGTGATGAGGCAACGCGCATCTCTGCATATTGCATCCAACATTATTTATGTGAAATCCATGTTCTATTATATATCATAAGTGCTGTGCCGGCTATTGAGAATGAAAAGAAAATAGTTCCTCAGACAGCCTGCCAATGCCGCTCGCCCTTCTACTTTGGCTGGCTTAGTTCAAATATTTTTACATGTCAAACATCAAAAAAGGGAACATTTTCTAGTTTAACGTTTGCATTCAACAAGGAATAACTGAGGAAGAGAAATGGGGAGAAATTTCAGTGAAAAGCAAACACTAAAATAAGTTATATACGCATGAATGTATGTATGTGAGCACACTGCTATTTCTGGGCCATCCCGTTGAAGAACTCTAAGGCAGTTGAAGAGATTTTCAAAAGTTACGCAAAAATGAAAACACTGCCAAGAGAACTGACTGATGCGATGGTTTTCCACAGAAAAAAAAGCGAAGTAACGTTGGGGAACGGGAGGGAAATCAAAAGGAAAACATAAATCCCACTCAGTGCTGACAGCTGTGGCGGATGTCGATAATAAATCTTTATGCTATGATTTTGCTTTCCTAGTTTTTTTCAACGCATTTATCGATGAGTGGTCTAGGCGAAAACGTTTTACAACTAAATTTTCATGAGAGAAATGGCGGCAAAAAGTGTTCTTCAATTGATAATACATTTGTCATTGCGAGATTTAGATATTTGTTTCATTCAATTGATATAAAATATAAATGTAATTATGATTGTGTGATTGATTAGATTGTATTTGTTCGCAAATAAAAAAAAATATATATACCTAATTTCAAATGATAACAATAAGTTGTTTATTTAAATCTAAATTGTTTGATTTAATTAAAATATGTTTTTGGGAATCGGTTTTTCTCTTTTGCTTAGTCTACACGCTTCACAATATGCATTGCTCTAATAAAAACATGACCTATATCGAATAGCAAATTGAATATATTTTTTTAAAAAGTATATATAAAAATTGATTAAACTAAAAGAGATAGAGTTTACTCAATTCGTATATTAATATAAATTGGGATTGCAATTATTTCATATAAATTGCGTATCTTAACTTTCCTATAAGCTTTCCTCCCTACTTTTCTGCCTTAATTATTTATGCATCTGTCAAACATATTTCATATGCATAAGAATCGGCTTGGCTGGGAGGAATAACAAATGGCATAAATTACAATTCAATTTCTTATGGTCTATTATTTAATGCCTGACAGGGGGAGGATATTCAGGAAGTCGCCACGCCTCCGCCACTTTTCGTGTTTGGGGCGTCGTTCTGAGAGCCATAAAGTTGGAGCTGCTGCCAAATAGTAATCATATTTTCGGGCTAAAAGCACAGGCAGTACAACAAACACGCTGGGATAATCCCATTCGGTCCAGGCCAATGATTTCAAATGCGCTGCATGACGTTGCCACCCTCTTTTCTCCGCCCCTTTCTCAGCGTATTCATAATTCGATTTTTCACGATTTCCCCGTTGCCCCTTGTTCATCTACTTAGGCGCCCCATTTGCTGAGTTGCTTTTTGCCTTGGCCAATGTTTTTGCGATTACGTTGGGTCCTTCCCTTTTTCCTCCAGGATGTAGTGGAGTTGGTCAGACAAACGAATTATGGATTTCTTTCTATTATCATGAGCCAATGGTCTTTTTGCTCCGATGTCGGATTATTCAGGCCCTCTATTCTCTTTTATTGTTCTGAACAGGTCCCAGGACCTTTTGTTGTCCGACTTTTTATACACATGGAAAAATAGGACGATATTAATCAAAACCAAATTATGAAGGCGCCGCTGTATGCCGACTACCAGAATCTTTTTATATACAACGTCCCGATTCTTATGTTAATTAGTAAGATTTCTTTTTCTTCTTTTCATACAATAATGTTTAATAACCACAAAGGTTAGAAGGCATATATTTGATCAAATACATAAATGTTTCGCAAATTTATAGAAACTTTTACATATTTTAGAATAAAAGAGAAACTATTGATTTAAGTGTCTTGTTTGATTTTCATACAATTCTATTTTCGTTCACAACTTTCAAAAGATTTTTACTTCAAGAACTTTGGTTTGAAACTGATAAAAAATGCATTTCAAGGCAGACAGTCACAAACAATAAACTGAAGCTAGGTTGTTTGTCATTTGGATAAATTTTGCCCTCAAGCAAACAAGTCAGAAAGAATTTTCTTTCTCATTTATTAAAAGCCTTACAATCAGTTTTTATATACCCTCACTAGATATTTTGTTGGTTTTCTAGTAACTTTATAAAATTCTTTACACTGGTTTTTATACATAAAATTTAAGAAACTCCAGAACAAAATTAAATTAATTTTCATAGTCTTAAGAATGGTATTTCTATCTTTAAAATTTTTAGATGTATAAATATTTTTTGTCAACATAAGTTGCAATTAACTAAATCTTTGCAATGTTGCTCAAATGTGTAGATTTAAAATAAAAAGATTTATAAAAACTTTGTTGTTAAAGGTAGAGTTCAGCGTTGAATAAAATATATTTTTTCATTTTTAAAACGTTGCCCTTCTAGCTTTTTAAAGAAATATCTAAGATTATTATTATAACTTTTCTATTGTTAAAGATTAATAATACAAACCAGAACATGAATGTCCCAGTTGCAAGGGTATTTGATATATCGGATTCAAGGATGACTCTTAAAGTCTTTTAGTTTTTTGTCGATATCGAGCAGGAAAAGGGGGTCCTCTGTCTTTCGCAGAACTTTATACCCGCCATCTTGCCTCCAGCTCTGGTTGGCTCTTGGCTCTGGTTGTTTCCGCCCTGGACTATTGGACAATGGCTGGACTGACCTTGTCCGCTGTGCTTTTCCCGCGACGCCGGAGGAGCCCGCTTCCTGGCCATTGATTTTCGCCATCATCACCAGCATCGTCGGGCCCTTGCATCTCTAATTTACAAGGAGAACGCAACTCGATTTATGGGTCTGTGTGTTGCCATTTGCTGCACTCTTCATTTGCACATTATTTCGCTGCAGCGAAAGGGAAACGTTTTGTTTGACCCGAAACTTTTTCTATTTAGTTTCTGCGTAGTTTTGTTTTCGGAAAAGTTTTCCCTTTTCCCCTTCCCATTTCGAAATGACTTTGCTGCATTTTTCGTTTGGGCTGTGGGCAGCATTGTTTCGGATTTTCCCTTTTTTTTGCAGGCGCTAACCCACACCAAGAATCTGATTTGGATTCCGACTCGAAGTCAGCGTTATCTGTGTCCATTTTCATTGCTGAGTTTTAGTGGGGTTTTCATGGTATTTTTTCGAAGGGGGGTCGCTTTTCCCAGTTGGGTTAATGTGGCGTATGAGTGACGCTGCGTTTATGCAATTAAAATGGGTATTTCGTGTATTGCAAACTTTTAATTTATTCCGGCCATTTATTTATTCTTGCCTGATAAATAATGTCTGCATGAGCGAAGTTTAATTACCCACAGATAATTGAAAATATATAAGATTTTAAAGGGAATCATACATTATTTCAATGTGTTTTCATGTACAAGATATGCAACTTAAGCAAAATATTAAAATCATTATTTATCACTTTTAGCCAGTTGATTTAACGCAAATAAAATGATGTTTTTTTTATTTTTATACTTTATTTTCTTTGTTTTTTAAAGTACTTAAACGTTTATAGTCGAAAAGCTATATTAGTTATCTTTAAAAAAAAATTGCTTAAAAACGATTTGTGATTATTATAAGATATATAATTTATTGTTTTGAGAAAAAATATATCTTAATATAAAAAATTTAAAATTGAAATAGCTAAAACTTTAAGATTGGCTTTAAAACTTTAAAAAGCATTATTTAACCATCACAATATCTCAGATGTCGATTGTTTGGCAGAACCCCAGCTAAACAAGAGTTGACATCCCCAAAGACAGTTAAACAAATCGGTTCCATCACAACACGAAATTGGCAAAAACTTATTATTCACTTTTACACACATTTGCGCATGAGACTCTAAGGGAAACGAGCGAAGGACTTGATAGGGCCCATCCTCGAACAGGCTGGGCCTCACTGAGCAAGTGATTGATTTCGGGGGAGTCGGCAGGTCCTTGGAGGCGGAGACTGCGACCGAGAAGTGCCACTAACAGGCGGTGCAGCCGTGAAGTGGAAGGATGGAGGACGTGGAATGGCGTGGCAGGAGGCCAAAAGCCCAAAGACAAAGCGCGAACTGAAAGCACTCAGCGATGAGGACTTGCTCCTGTCAATCCTCGGCGGCGGCAGCCACTTAATGAATGGAAAGTCTCTCTAAACGCCGCCGAGATTGATGACGCACTTGATGCTGGCCCAGCTGCTCACTCGGAATCTCATTCCGACTGCAATCCGAGTGTCCTTTTTATACAGTCAGTCACTCAGTCAGTTGGTTGATCGGTGGAGTGGCCTTGTCGCTACCTCTTCTCTGTTCTCTCGTCTTCCGCTCCTCCGACTTCTGTGCGCTCGTCGCACTTAACCAACATTTTGTCATTTTGACAGCGAACACATGGCCCCGGCTAACTCCTCCCGAGTCCTGGCCCAAATGCTGCTAAAGTGCGGCCAAGTAAAAAATTTGCATACTCAGCCAAAGCGACCGAAAGACAAGAAAAAAAGAAGGTATATAGTGGCGTATATATATAGGAATTCGCAATGCAAGTCTGTCTCCATATCTGGCCACATTATTGGGCCATAAAAGAGCCGCAATGATGAGGCACAACGTTTGCGTTGGCTTCCTTGTACGTTAACTTCCACTTTTCTCTTTGTATTGTATTTTCGCTTCATTCGTACTTTTGAAAATTTCATCAAATTTATTCCGCTCTTTGCCTGCTGGGGCTTACGTGGCGTATGCGTTATTTCCGACAGGCTTTTCACCAGCCCCCTACTCCAATTTGATTTGACAAAGTGAAACGATGATTCGTATCTTTTATCATAAGATGTATCTTTGCTTTTTTCCTTTTAAAATGTTATGGTTTTTTGTCGTTCTTAATTAAATGGTACCAATAATAATTGTTAATTTGGATATTAATCTTTAGAATTATTATAAAAAATTAGTTTAAAAATTAATAATATTAATTTTTGATATTTATTTTATTAATTAACAAATTAATAAAATTACATATATTTTCAACAGAAATCTTAAATAAGTTTTTTAATATGGAAAGGATGCTATAGATAAGAAAAATTTAGCTTTGAAATTTTAAATTTAAAAGAATTCATTTGAACTCGCCGCTGGGCATAATTTACCTGAGTGGTAGCAATCTCCGTTTTGATTAAGTTTCCTTGACGACTGATTGCTACTGTTAAATTCAAGATTTGTCAACATGTTCTTTGAAAGATAAATAAATGTCAGCCACATCTATTTTGGAACGAAAATTCCAACTAAAGTTTAACACTGAAAGCTCTCGCCTTGAAGAAGTACTCGAGAAATTCCTTCCTCTAAAAATATCTAATTATATTTTCGTTTGTCAAAGGAAAATAGTTTCGACGCTGGCGCACTTTTGCGCAACTGGGATTTTCCTCAAGTATTTGTATACACATATTCTGCATACATGAACATGTATCTTTAGGGCATAGAGCGCATTACTGCACAGATAATAACCCAATCTCGGTATGCATATTACTCTACTAAAGTCCTTGGAATCTATTTTGTTTCCTTTTTATTTTCAGCCAAAGGACAAACGAGGCGCCGAGGGCCAGAAGTGAAAAAGGACTATGGAAGGGGAAGATAGGCAAAGCTAAAACCATAAACCCAAAGCCACCAAATGCAAGTGCAGAACAAACTCAGCTGTGAGTGCTGAAGAACCAAGAGAAGGAGGACGTGCAACCTGCGCCCGAGTCTAATTAAAAAGTATCGCTCTGAGGCTGCAGATTGCTCATACGCCGTGTGGAACGCGAGTGCCTGAGTGTCCGTACAAGTGTGTGTCAGCTTTTGGTCCGCATCTAAAGTTTACAACTCGTGAAAGCCAATCGAGTGGTGTCGAAGTTTTTGTTCGATTTGCTGGCGGGCCGTCAAAGAATTAGTTTGGCATGCGGCTGCTGTTGCCACAACTGTTGCATGCAACATGGATGGCGAAAATCGGATAATACTCAATGTGGGCGGAATTAGGTAAGTTCTGCGAAACTAAATAAAATAAGTGTGCTTAGAGCAACAAAATTATTTGAATAGTTAAATTTAATTCTAACAATATATACAAACAATATGTATAACAATTCAATGACAATGAAATGAAGAATCACATATTTTTATCAATGATCTCTTATTTAGCCAATGCAAATTGTGGAAAATTGATAAAAGATTCATTAAATTCATTAATTTATTCTCAGACATAAATCATTTCAATTTAATTCGTTTTTTTTCATCAATGCTTGTTGATATTAATTTCCAAACGAAATAGAATTTAATTAAAACACAAAAATATATAATTCGAAATGTTATCCTTCTTGAATAAATCATTAGAAATGCTTTCCTTTCGTGCATATAAAAAATCTATTAAAAATATATTTTGTTTTATTTTATAGCTATATTGCTAAAGTTTTAATGCTTCTGCGCAATAGTTGGGGCTTTTGTTTGTATTTATCTTAGGCATTGCCAAATCACGTAGCACATCCTGTTGATTTAATATTTTCGCCATATTTCTGTGGCCATAGAAACACACTAACATTCAATCCCATTTTGCTCACTTCGGCTATCGACACTGTTTTTTTTTGTTGGACAGGATATTGGGCCAGGATAGTTCCATGTATTTCCGTCATTATTTGGGCATTGTTGTGATTACGCCTGGCAAAACAATGGAAGCGATACGGAGTCTGCTATCCTAGCCAACAATATGAAAGGGAAAAAATAAGAAAAACAAAATAGAACTAGTAAAATGGTTCACGATTTGTGTTGCAACAGGAAATGTTGACTCTTGTCTGTGTTTGGTTCAGTTTCAGCATGAGTTTCCGTATGTACTTTAATGTAAATAACTCTGCTCTGGCTTTGAGTTGTAAGCTCCATTATCAGCATCGTCATCGGGCCCATCATCATCATCATTGTCGTCGTGTGTGGCTGTGCTTTTTTGGGGATACGTGAAAGCCTCCCTCGACTTGGGCCCTTGTCTGCTTGAGCGCACTTTTCTGGCTGAGAGCATTTATCCGGCTGCAGATTTTCGTGCCTAGTTAATAATTTATGATTCCGTTAATGGGCAATGTGAGAGGGGCGATTAAGAGAAAAGTCCCATGATATTTTTCGGTTGCTCTTCTCCCCATTTTTATTTTGGGCACAATGTAATACAATTTTCATCACAAGACTCGCTTTATTTGAAGATATTTTTTTCGCGCTTTCCATTACAATTAAAACTAATTTAAAGCAATTTTTTGTCAGTCACTGAACCATGTTCTTGGAACCACTTTAACCCATACAAAGCGGGTTAATTTTATTGCTGCCAACATATTTTGTCCGCTCGGTTAACCGCACTTTGCAAAATTAACAATACAATTGCAATTCCATCAGCATAGTAGAAATTCTATCTTGCTGTGTGTTTTTTCCTCAAACCGCAGGAATGACCACAAAAAAGAGAATAAAATATCAACAGAAAGTAGAAAATTGTGGCAAAATGCATTCTTGCTTGGTTGGGGCAACAATTTTCAAATACACCACGTCCAAAAAGCAAAGCCATTAAATTGACACATATCTTTAAAAAAATAAAATATTCTGCCATACACAGAATCACTTGAATGTGCCTTCACCAGGCGGTTTGTGGTTGGAACAGTTAAAAGAAATATTGCACTTGTGTAAACATTGAATGTCTAAACAAAAAATCAAAATATGTAAGGATCTAGGAAAACAGGAGTTAGTTTAAGAAAGAGAATTAGTGTGTATTTTATTTTTATATTTACCTACACAAATCAGGTATCAATGCTAAAACCAAAATTTTGACAAAACGGAAATAGCAGATAACAATTATTACCTTAGCAAAATAAGTATTTTCAATTTGCACTCCGAATATATTTTAAATTAATAGCATTTTAAAACCTATTTATTGATTACATTTTTTTCCAGTGGGTAGCTCCCATAACCGCCCGTTATCCCTGCACAAAAATATATATAAATCTCTCACCGACATTTCGCATCTAAATGGATGAAAGCTTCGGTTTCAGTTTCGCTTAAAGGTCCGTGGACTGTAATAGAAGCGAAATGGGTCGGGAGGGAGGTTGTAATATGTCACACTATTCGAATGGTTGTTTAAGTCCTGTCTGCTCTGCGCTGCCTTAGTGTGTTTGTTCGTGTGTGCGTTGGTATCCTTCTAGACTACACATACTTTTGTAGCATACTTATGCGGGCCATTGCTGGCTGACTGGCATCACGCTGTCAGCTCGCCGACGTTTTTAGCACAAATAATACATGCAAGAACATACAAGCATTGTTCGTGTGAGCATTAAATAGAATACATTGCAGAGCGAGTATATTTTGCTGTAAGTTGTTTGCCATTTTCCCAAGTTTCACATTCAACCCAAAAGCTGTCTTCTTTAAGGTAACACCAAGCAAATGCTTAAGGCCCAAGCCAAGTTCTATTAAGTTGTGCAAAGCAAGTGAAATCGGAATCGAAATTTTGCAAGGAAATTGACTTGTGATCCCTGTTTAATGTTATCTGTGCAGAAATTGCATATATAAAAAACATATTTGATATGGAATCCAATTAGTGATGATATTCAAATCAATAGCCTTACCAATTTTACACATCAGTTGCGAGTCATCATGTTGCCCATTTGGGTTCTGGAAAATCAGAATGCATATGCTGAAATACATGCGTTTGAGATTAAATTAAAATTGAATTTAATTATTTATCTGAGTATTTTGTTTGCAAAAAATCCATTGATTTTATAAAATTTTTTTCTTCCGTTAATAACAGAAAAAATTAACTAATACCGAATTTCTAGATAATGAATTAAATAAAATAAATGATTTACAAAATTATACCCTAAAGCATTTATTGAATTTATTTATTATATAAATTGAATTTAAATGAAATGGGGCGTGATTTTTTTCTAATCAATTAAACGATATTAAATTTTAAAATTCAGTTTTTTATTTAATTCGATTCATTCCTTCCTTTTAAGTTTTTTAACAACATTTTCAATCATGACCAGCATGAAAAGCTTTTTGTTTAGCCCAATAATAATAGAAATTATTATGTATTTCATCAAGATTCCCTTGGTATTTGGATGTGTGATGATTATCATTGTGATTACGCGGCAGTTTTTGTCATAAAAAGAGAACAGGGAGCTGAGCAGCGCAAATATTGTATGGGCAATGGCTTGGGAATTGGTCGGTTTAAGGATAGTCGACCCCCAGATCCTGCTGCTCATCAACGCAGACAATTGCGCACTGATTGTATCTTTGATTCACGCACACATTCGCCAGCACACACACGCACACACACACACACCCGCACACAGGCTTGCCTTTCAACACAAATACATTATACTTAGTGCCGCTGGTTGTTTGTTTGTGATGCTGCGTATTTCCGCTGCCATTTTCTTCTCGCCATTGTTGGGACTTGTCCTGCTCTCTTCACCCCCTGTGCCCTCTTCAATCCCACGCCATTGTGTGCGAATTAAACGAAATGGCTAATGAAAAGTTTAACAGTCAATAAATAAAGCGGGCTGCAACGTCAACCATCACAGGGTTCTCCTGTTGTCCTCACAATAGAAGATGAATCCTGATTTCGTACCATTCATTTTATCTTTAAAGCTTTAATTTGTTTATTGGTTTAAGCTAAGTGTTTTATGTCGTTTGTTTTATATTCCAGTAATGGTATTAAGTTAAACAAAAGTAATCTTAAATTTATAAATTTTACCTGCAACGCGGAAAATATATTTATTTATGTAAAGTATAAAATTTAAATTTTAAAAATGTTGTTGTGTGTTGCTCTTGCCTTGACAAATTATGCTTTTATAGAATTATTTAATGTCCAGACGCCTTAAAATTAAAATATTTACAAAGTTTAAATTGCTAACTGTTCAACGCCTATGATTTTTAGAGTACCTCACAAATAACAATCGTTTAATTTTATTGAATAATATTTGTCTTAAAACAAATACATTTTAGCCACAAGCCTTGGCCTCAGCCATAAAATCTTATATAAATTGATGAGACACTCAAAAATGTATACAGCTGCTAAATGCTCCTATAATAACATCTTCCTGCGTTCAATTGGCAAATTAACTTCGATATTGACTCGGCTAAACTGCTTTTTAATTGCAATTCAACTTTACCCCAGGACACCTATAAAAATGACCCATTGTCCTGCTGCTGCAAAGCGGAACAAATAAGTGGGAGGACGCTGTGGAGGATGACAAATTGCTGACAAGCATTCTGCGGCATTTGCTGCAGCACAAAAAGAGAAAGCCAACACCCGAACGAAAATAAAAACGGTGAAGTAAAAAAGAATAAGTGAAAGCAGAAGTAAAATGCAAATGCTCGTGCCGGTTTCACTGCTCAAGTAGCCGCTTAGAGGCAAGTGCCAAAGACAATGGCCAAAAGCGGGTCCTCCCGCCTCGCATACACACACTCATACTCACACTCACACACGAAAACAAAGGACCCGTCAGCGACGGTGCGAGAAAAGCGGGAAAAGCTGGAAAAGCTGACAAAACCACAGCCAACAAGGAGGGCCAACCACAATTTAAAATCAACAGCTGCGCGTGTCCTAACAGAAGGAGCACGAAAAAAGTTTAAGTAGCGACTTGAAATGCTTCACGTTTTGTGTTTTGTTTTTGTTTAAATAGCCAAGTTAAGGAACGTGGCTGGGCGGAAATAGCAAAGTAATAAATAAATTTCCTGCTCTTTTGCTGTTTTATGTTCGGACCGCTTTATTGCGGCTTCGTCTGCAGCGCCTAACGCTTCATTAACTTTTTGGCTTTTAATATACTCGGCCAGACCCGAATTTCCGCCTTCCGCCCAATCATCTGCCGCCCCTTAACCCCTAACATCCCCCTTCCCCTCCCCGCACTGTTGTTGTCACTCAGTCAGGCGTTCATCGAGGTCTCTTCTGTCTGTTGGTGCCACAAAATTGGAAAACATTTTTGGTTTTTGTTTTCTTTGTGTCGGTTTTCTCCTTTTTT